CTCCCTCTTGATTTTCTCACCCTCAGGAAGGCCTTGACATCGAGTGTCCTACCCCCTGAAGTGGCGGTCAGCCTAAAACCTTTACAGAAGCCAGATGGATCCCGGCCCACGAAGGGAGAGAATGATCTCATACTTCTACCATCTTCCTTACACTCTATATGCCATTCCCTTGTTTCAACTGAAGATTTGCGAGGCCGTGGAGATTTATAACCCTTTGCTGTGGGTTCTAGCTATGCTCCTTTATGGTTACGTGATGCTCCAGTAGCAACGTGAACAGTGACATTTGAGGAGAGCGTTCTGAATAAGCAGTGAGCCTTTATTTGGATCAGGTCCTCGTTGCGGATAAAACATATTTCATCCACGAGATCAATGGAGTTGAACTTCAGTGAAATACACATATTGCCACCACTCGCGAACCGTCTTGTTCTGATGATCTCGCCTGTACTGATAGTGAAGATTTTTGTCCTTATCAGATAATGGGGTCATAAGGTTCTTCTTGAATCATCCAGTAACCCGGACTGTCATAAAGATTTGATCGTAAGGCGCGATTGTGCAGTGCAATCAAGGTTAAGTTCTCTGATTTAAGTCTGCTTTCGCGTCCTCCTCAATGCGGGGTGATATTTCACGTTGTCGAAGCCAAAAAAGACCAGTAGATGGAGGTCCATGCCCGATTGTTTTCAGTCGGGACTTTATGGTGAAAGATTTGTCTGTTGACCGTTAACTTGCAGGATGCAAGATATGTAAAGTGCAAAACATGTAGAAGTGACAAATTATGGTACATTAGACCTAGGGAGGTAATCTCTACCAGTTATGATGGGTGAACCTTCTATATAAAAGCAGTGAACTGTTATATACAGGTAATCACCACCAGTAATGACGTGTGAACCTTCTAACTTTTTACACAAAGAACTGAATGAAGTATTAGGTAATCAATATGATCATACGCTTCAAGAAGCGTTCACGGCGAGGGCATCTCACTCACGACGTCTATGCTCTTTCTGGGGTGTCCTAGGTGCCATGGTAGATGGTGGTAACTCATATACCGAGGACCACGTTGCTCTTGATGCCCGTTTTGGTGCTGTGGCCCGTGCGCAGTCAATTTTTTCCAAAATGCTGCAGTAGCACAACACCGCCACCGCACCTTGTCGGTGTCGACAGGGCGATAAGGCATCATATGTCCTCTAAGCACGAAACGGATGAACCTTTTCGACACTAGCAACGTATGAAAACATGGATTTAATCATGTAAGGGGCTAACGCCCAGCTTCCTCGTAGAAGATGTTTATCTGATGTCCGTAACGTAAAAAAATGTAAACTTGAGTAAGCTACTCTGTATTGAACGCGACCGGCAGAGATTTGACTAAACTTAGCTAAACGCAATCCGGTCACGCACCAAATAAACCACTCTCTGTGCGTGTTCCATTGTTCCACCTTCAGGGTCTTTATCCGTCAATTCATTTACCTCCAACTCTTTCTGGTCCTCCCCTATTTCTGCTCAGCTTTGTAACATTTACCACCGGCACTTCCGTTTTTATCATCTAGTTCTAGTTCAGCCCCGGCTGCGTTACTCTCCCCACTCCGCCTGACAAGTCCTCAAAACGCGCACCCCCCACCTCTCCGCTCTAAAGATTCGCCCACTCGAATCCATCCGATTTGGCTTCCTTCCGTCCTGGCAACCATGAAGCTCACATTTAAGGTAACCATCCACATCTCAACTCATGATCATCCATATCACGCCGTTTCCGATTCTGACCGCGCCGCAGGACCTGAAACAGCAGAAATTCGTCATCGAAGCCGAGCCTTCAGCGACCATCGCTGAGCTTAAGGCCAAGGTTGAAAAGGAAAAGGGCTGGGAGTCGTCTACCCAAAAGCTTATCTACTCCGGGAAGATTCTCCAAGATGACAAGACAATCGAGTCGTACAACATCCAAGAGAAGGGCTTCGTCGTATGCATGACGCAGAAACCTCGCTCCGCACCTTCAGCGTCGTCGAGTTCCGCTGTCCTCCCGTCAACGCCTGCACAACATTCCGTCCCGACATCTTCTGCTCCTCTCGCACCGCAAGTCGTACCTTCATCTACTACGATACCCGACCACCCGGCCACGCCGTCTCCAGCACCTGCAGCCACGCAAGAACGCCGTTCCGATGGGATGGTCCTTAGCAGTTCCGAAAGAGAGGCCGCTATCGCTAGTATGGAAGCCATGGGCTTTCCTCGAGAGCAAATCGAGGCTGCTATGATCGCCGCCTTCTACAACCCAGACCGCGCCGTTGAGTACTTACTCAACGGCATCCCAGACAATTTGCGCCGTGATCACCCCGCTGGCAACTTACCACGAGGATCTGCCGCCGGTGAAGCAATAACATCTCCTTCGTCCGCCGTGCCGAGTAGCGACGAGCCGGTGAACCTCTTCGAGGCCGCCGCACATGCTGGTCAAGGCAATCGCGGTGGTGGCACCACAGGCCGTGGTAGTACTGCCATTACTGGAGGGAATCTCGATTTCCTTCGCAACAACCCCCAGTTTCAGCAGCTCAGACAGATTGTCCAGCAGCAACCCCAGATGCTCGAGCCAATATTGCAACAGGTCGGCGCCGGTAATCCTCAGCTCGCGGCTATGATCGCAGAGCGCCCTGAAGAGTTCCTGCGGTTGCTGGCAGAGGATCATGGCGATGACGACGCCGCCCTCCCACCGGGCGCTCAGGCTATTCAGGTCACTGAAGAGGAGCGGGAGGCCATTGAGCGACTGTGCAGGCTGGGTTTCGAGCGCGACCTTGTGATACAAGCCTACTTCGCCTGCGACAAGAATGAGGAACTTGCGGCTAACTTTTTGTTCGACCAGCCAGAGGACGACGATGTCGGAGGTCAATAAGTGTAACTGTGGCCTAAGAAATTTGAAATTTGGTTCCTTCGGTAAAGGAATTACTCGAAGCTTGTGGTAATAAACAGGACAACATAAGCGGCTGGACTCAGCGTCTTGTAGGCCTGTAATGGATGGCGTTTTTGACAGCTTGGGGCTTGAAGTATTTGCGGCAAATTCCACTTATTTACTGCAACTGGGAGGCAGCTTCTATGTCAAATGGACCGACATCATATATATCACCGCCACAACCTTCGCACAGACGAAGCCTTTCTGCCACAAAATGCTTATAGCTAGCAGATATGTACGAAAGATACTGGGAATAAAGTTGACTCCATACCGAAATGTTTCTTTCTACGATTTTTCTCCAGAAATGATCACTTGTGAGATTGTGCCAAGGAGTAAAGAAGCTGGTCAATACCACGCTGCTGTCTACCTCCCACCTGAGTCAAGCTTCGCCTCGACAAGCCACTGTTCATTCTCAAGTGGTCAGAGCGCATGGATGCCCCACCACTTCAAAGCAGTCTCACATTCCATGCTTCAAACACCTAACATAGATCTATTGTTGGAATCGCTCTGATAGAACGTGTTGCTCACAATTCGATCCAGGTGATATACGCACTCCACGTGCAGTTTTTCTCGGTATATAGGCAGTAGTTTTGGCTTTCATTTTTGTTGGTACAGATCGTACGTCACGAAAGACGGAGCCACGAAAGGCTATAAGACCAACGAAGTCGTACTAAAGGGTACTTTTCTATATATCAAAAATCTCTCTTAAAATCTTGTCTCTCATACATTTTGTTTCTCCCTCTCCTTTTATACCCCTTAAGATTAAGGGGTTCTCCATGCCATATTCGGTTAGTACTATCACTCCGCCCTTTTTGGTATATCGTACATTGCTATGTAGGGACAATTTTACTTAGGGGAAGAACTGCAATACTCAACTGAGACAACATAGATTCGGAGCACCTAAGACGCGTCATTTTACCATCACCAAGAGTGGCAATGCCGCAGAGCGTGCCGCAAACACCATCCAAGCACGATGAAGTCAACGCCATATTTGTGAAACTGAACGCGCTGGACAGAAGATTAAACTTCAGCCCACGCTCAAAGAACGAATCTCCATCGAACCGACCGAGAACGAGCGCCAACTATTGCCAGGACCTGATAATCCGACAATTCTTTTATTCCAGACGGCAGCTCAAACTCATCATTCGGCAGTTCGAGGCTGGCTTCAGAGAGGAGCAAGATCCCATTCCTTTCTTAAAGGGACTTGCTACGCGGCCCTGGATCCGCCTTAGCCCTTGCAGGGCTCGGTAGCCGTACGCTCAGCGGTGTCAGTACTGCGTTGAGTATCGCACTGTTGAGGTTCGACACGCAACCTGCTCCGATAAAGGAACCCAAGACTCCAGTGGTCGACGACTCGGACGACTCGGGCGGCTTTGGTAGACCGCAAGAGTCGCGAACGAAGGATACTACTCCGTCCTCACCGCGGGGCGGCGGCGATGACAAGCCGTCTGTCGCCCAACACGCACAGCTGGCCGTCGTCACTCATGAACTGGCGTCTTTTTGGACTTCCAGCTTGTCCAGAGGCGAATCGTCCGCTCCTACGGATCAAGACGCTTTTGGATCCGACGGTGCCAACGGTGGCTTCAGCACGTCTTTCGGTACCACAGAAACCTTCTTTAATACTAGCCCGAGAAGTACTACGTGCGATTATAGCCCGTCGTACACAAAACGGAGACGGCCTTATTATTGCCACTACAAAATTTGAGTTCTGCGCGATGCCGAGCTCTTCTGTGACGCACCTTTTCCTGACTTCTTGTCCGACGTCCCTATCAGGCTTGTCGTCGAGGGCACTCGCATTGCACTTGACTTCGGTCATGAGCCGTATTCGTTTCTTGAAAGAGATATGCCTGTCGACTACGATTCCTTTTATAGATACTGCGCAGATAAAGTCACAGATCTTTCTGGAAAATCCCCGAAATTTGAGCCATCAAGCAGAGCTGCTTTTGAAGCCGCCGCCGGGAATTTTGACATCGTGGCTTTGAAGCTGAGGCTCGATCTTAAAGGACCGAACCTTGCAGAACCTGATGGGTTGTTGTTCAATCTGACTGTTAAGCCTCTGGCTTTGGAGCTATCCGACCGTTTTCGAACGGGCTTTGAGTGGGATCGTGTCGCCTATTTGGACGTATCCACCTTTAAGAATGCGCCTGCGCACATCAAGTCGCAAAACACGGAGTTTTTGGACGCCTTCAACGACTGGCTGGACCCAGACAAGCCGAAACGGTTTCTGGGTAGGGTATGGAACATAATACACTTTAAATACATCCACGCCGGTAGGAAAGCTCGTGCAGATGAAAAAGAGACTCTCTGCAAGGTGCTTCTCTTCGCTAGTTCTGAGTGCAATACCGTTCCCTTGCCGTCGAACCCGTTTCGACACGCCAAAATGCATTACCAGGACGCCGTGAAGTGGTTTCTTCCGTTGTATATGCTTCTTGATCAACCGTGACCAAAAACCGCGGCTCGTATGGATCTCGGTTTGTATTATCCTATATGCTCCTTCGCCTCCTGTACTTGCTAAGTCCAATAGCTTTTTCATCAACCATACTGACGTTTGTCATCAGACCATCCAGGTTCGACTAGACAAGAACATCATGTCTTACGGTGTAATGAAACGTACGGAGTTCAATGATCCGAATCCACGCTTTACGTCAGAGGTCAGACCGAGAAAGGTAGTGATGGACGATGGCTGTGCCAGAATTTCGCTAGGCGCAATTCGAGCCATCGTCAAGGAATTAAATTTGCACGGCCATGGGCTGTCGGCATGCTGACAGCCTTTCAGGCACGATTTAATGGCGCTAAAGGAGTCTGGCATCAAAGCTGCTCCCATGACCCCGCCACAGACGATGACTGGGGTATCTGGATCGAGATACCTCCCAGCCAATGGAAGTTTCCCATGCATGATGGGGACACAGACCAGAGCTTTGATCCTGTCCGCTTGACATTCGAGGTTATTAAATGAACTACTGATGCAGCTCCATCTGCATTAATTCTCGCCTTTATGCCCATTCTGGAAGACCGTGGCGTGGATATTCAAATTTTGAAAACGACGGTAAGCGACCTTATCTCGTCCGAACAGGTTGAGATGCTCGAAGCGTTGGAGAACTCCGAGCTTCTCTTGCAATGAATCTCCGTGTAGAAATACATGGTAGAAAAACGGCGAACCGGTAGCATTCTCTGGAGTGCAGGTTTGCCAAGGAACGATGTCGAAAAGCTTGTGTATTTGCTACAACATGGGATGTTTATTCAGCAGTATCCATTCCTTGGGGATCTGCTCTCCAAAATAGTAGCAAATTACTTTTCCAAGGTTGTTCAGAGTATGTCTCCCACAATCCACCCTGCTTCTCGGCATAGCCGACCCGTTTGGCGTTTTAGAGCCAGGTGAGATATTTGTACAATTCTCTTTGCCATTATTCGATGAGCGTAATCAACAGGTTGCTTCATTCGATGGACGCAAGTTGATCGTCGCGAGACGCCCTAGCCTCATACCTTCGGATATGCAAGCGTTCAAGGCCGTGTTCCGATCCGAGCTTCTTCACTTTTTAACGTAATTGTCTTTGCTACGAAAGGCAATGAACCTGGGGCTGGAAAATTGCAAGGTGGTGATTACGATGGTGACACCTTTTGGATCTGTTTCAATACTATATTGAGTAGACATTTCGTTAACGCACCTCTCCCTTACGAACGACCTGGTGCGGAATATTTTGGTATCACCGTGGACAAACCATATTTAAAGAAAGTCATGGGTCCTCAATCCTCCATTGGAGAATTCCTTCATACAAGTTTCAGGTTTCGTGGCGAACCGCAAATGCTTGGGCAAGTAACCAAGCATTTTGAGCAGCACCTGGTTGCTCCTAAAGGCCGCAAAGGTCTACGAGCTAGTACACAGCAAATCTCGATCTAGCTTCATGTTCCACATTGGGGGCAGACAACTTGCTTATCTCAAGTCGATGAGTTTCGAAGATACAGAGTCTATTGTGGCTCCAATCTGGGCGAATCTGAGGCTAGGAAAAGTGACAAGTAACATCTCAGTATGGAGTATTGCTAACAAATCTAGACTTGCGAGGGGCTATGGCCTAGCAGATGAAGAAGCATCGGAAGTCGTAGAGGAACAAGCAATCGAGTCCATTGATGATGAGGATTTTTACTCAGTCTGTAGTTTTATGTACGACAAGAATGAATGAAGATGGGAAACAATCAAGCAGCACTGTACATATGAGTGACGCAGAGCTATTTAGAGTAGCGCAGACATCAGTTCTATCTGCGCAGTGAAAGAATAGGGATCTACTCGTTTTCGCGTTCATAAGACTGGGGATAGTGTAAAGATGCAAAATTATTAATAAGAGACATTAGCCTCTTTAGCGCCAGACCCTGACGCTTCGTTTTGCTCACTAGCTATGCAGCAACGCATGAACTCTACCTTTGCACAATGCAATGAATGCGTGTGTGGAGTCGTTGCGCAAATGCTCATGCCTCCAATCATATTCTCGTGATGTTTGCTTCGGAAAACTGGTAGATCACTCACTTCGATGTAGATGATAACCGCCAATAGGGATTTCGCACGTAAAAGATTACAATGACAGAGCAAATCTGCTCTTCACAGCATCTGGAAGTGCATCGATGAAGACGTCTCGATCTTTGCGTGCATTTGCCGCATCATCATCGCTGCCATGTCGTAAAGCTGTTTGCTCTTGCAAACCTGCGGCAACACCTTTCCACAACATACTCCCGCTACGGTCCGCCAGGGCTCTAGCACTTCTAACACTTTTCTGTGCCTGCTCCCCAACCACATCTTTGAAGAACATAGTACACATAAGACTCAAAGCTATCGAGACAAGTTGGGTATTGTTAACAGCACGCGCAGCGTTCAAACAACTTGCGAAGTGCTTCTTCTTGTCGATCAGTTTGCCCTGTGGGTTGAGAACGCTGCGAAGAAGATCGTGTGCTGCCCGAAGGGACTTGTTTGGATGGTTGATTAGAGAGGACGAGACAAATTCATGAAGCCGTGCTGCCTCTGAGTGGGCAGAGTTTGTTGGGTCTAACATGATGAGAACTGAGTTTAGAGCTGCAAGGATACCTAAGTCAGTTTCTACATCATGCAGTCCGTTATTTGCAGTTGCAGGCAACTGTAACGCTGGGGACTGGAAGATCGACAGCGCTTCCTCAATCTGTCCACGTCCTTGTTGGATCGTTGCGCAGAGGAACATTTCCCACTTCACGCGTGAAGGCCCGCAGTCCAAAATTGACGCAGGTGGGCACGCTCGTGCCTCGGTTAGGTACTCCTCAGCTTTACTCCAGTCTGTCCGGCCACAAGCATTGATGGACATGTAGATGTAGAAGAACCACTGCATATTGTACCACCAATCAAGGCGATTGATGACAACATCGAGAGAACTTGAGCTCGGGAAAATGTCTTCCCTACTTAAACTTGACTCGCTTAAGTTCTCCTTCAGGATCTTTAGGCCTTCACTCAGATAGGCCTCAGCCTTCTGATCTGCAAAGGTACGCGATTGTGACGCAATCGCATTAAGTAAGAAACAAAATGCCCACAGATCGCGCTGCGCTAACCATTTAAATGAGAGAAATTCTTGATCTTTCCTGCGTTGGAAAATGCCACACGTAGTTTCGGTAAGTGAACCTGGCTTTTGTCTTAGCGGGATTGCTAACAAGCCGTCGTCGCCGAGGCTCGTGCTCGCCCGAATTTCATCTATAATCGATGCCATTTGCTCAGCTTTCTGAGCGGCTAGGGAGGGGCTGCCCTCCATCAAATAGCAGACAATTTCTACACAAGCCAGGAGCGCCCAAATTTGCCGTAGGGGCGCTGCAATAGGATGAAACTGGAAACTTTTCGCTGCTGCGATGGCATGTTGCGCTTCCTCAATGCAATTTGAGGCTTTTGAGCGCAGGTGGAGCAACGCTGAATATGTTGCGCATATGAGCGATATTGCACCGTCGTCCTCGCTTGAAGCGAGCTCGGACATTACCTTTACATTTTGAATTCCGGCAGTAAAATCTTGACTTGACGCATCAAGCTTGTAGGAGAAGGAGAGACGAAGAAATCTAAGCGCATAAATCCAAGGAGTATGCTTGTGTGCGTGCGCAAACGATATCGCAGCATCCAAAGATCTGATCGCTACACGTGGTCGTGTTGCAAATAATGCACGAGCCGCCAGGTGGTGCATGCTATACTTCACGTCAAGCAGCTTATTACGTTCGCAAAGAGGTATCTGAGCTACGTTAGAAATGTCCACATGAGTTAAGGTTATGCTCACAGTTTTGCTCAACCATTTGTCAACCTCTTCATAATTCCGAGTCTCTCTTAACATCAAGTTGGTATATTGCAGCACAATCAAAGCTTCCACGCGTGGCGCAAGCCTGAACTGCACAAGAGAGGCTTCTAAGCATCTCAAGCCTATCGCTAGCAGTATGTGATATTCCTTGATATCATCATTACGCCTGTAGTATGCAACATACGAACTCATATCATGGGCTGCATTAATATAGTCCTCGGCAAGTAGTAGGAGTATTTGTTGGTAGTCCAAAGGTTGTGTAATCGGCAGACGTGCCCGCTTGTTTGCCGAAGTATTGGCAGAATTTTGAGGACTGGCTGAATTCGTCAACGAGACAGCCACATGGTCTAGAGACCGCAAAGAATGCGTTTGATCTCGAAGATAGCGTGATGACTGCATAGGTACTTCAACTATCGCCTGGGCCTTCGATATCCACGGTTGCCCCTGTGGAATGGTTTGAAAAGTACTGCTTGTTGCTTGTTGGAGTGGATGACTGTGATGCACGGTATGGAGTGGCAGTGTAGGCTTGAAGTTGTCGTAATTTAGTCCTGGAGGCTGAGGCTGAGGCTGAGGCTGAGGCTGAGATTGGTCTTGCGGTTGCGGTTGCGGTTGCGGGTGAGATTGGGAGACGTGATGGAGCTGCCGGAGCGGGGACACATGGTGGAATGGGCTCGGCTGGGCGGTTGACGGGTTCGACATGGGTGGCGAGTTCGCTAAGGCGTGAGTGGGAGTGCGCTGTGTAATCATAATCATCGACTGAGGAGAATGTGCAGGCAGTGACCGAGCAGGAGAACTGGCAAACGAATGTTGATATTGCATGGTCTGATATGCATCATCCTGAGATGGTGCATAATTCCGTTCTCCATAGGTCGCCATCATGTGCGACGTCTGACCAACCTCCTGAAAGTTGTACGGATTCTGGTCTTCATTCTGGAATCCTGAATCGTATATTCCTCCACTGGGCACTTGGTAGTCAACATAATTGCCATTGTAGTTCATGCTGAATAAAACAGGGAGGGCATTCAGAGCGTCATCGTGGTAGACGCAAGAGGTCGTAAATTAGTTATATGCTGGGGCAGCAGACGATGCTGCCATGAACTTTCGATAGAATGCTTGATACGACTTTACTTCGATGAGGTTAGAAACGACCCGTATCTAGGCCATAATCCATGACTCACGCTCTGCCACGTTGTCGAAGTGCAAAAGACGCTACGAAGCGTCGGGTTCCATTGAAACTTGAAGGACACTAAACTACTTCCGGTTAATCTGAAGGTCCGTTTCCAAATCGAGACTTCCGAGAACTCACCACGTTCAGCAAAATTACACCTCATGAATAATAAAGTTTCCGTACCTTTGGCTTGCACTGCTCAATCTTGTTCAAATACATAAAAAGACATGTCATGGATTTTGGGCCGCCAGTCTATGACTTTCCACTCAGCTAAGGTCCCCGTCCGTCTGCCTCTTAAACGTGGGGGCGACGATTCTCCCGAGGTCGATTCCAAATCACTTTCTGACTTGTGCAAAGACGCAACGCCAGCTTGCTGGCTGAATCCACTTCTCTTTAATGGACATCTGCAAACCTTATGGGTATTTTGTTTCCATTCATGCTTCGCTCGCGCTTCATGTCAATTCCGCAAAGCTAATTCCGCCAGACCGCGATAAATTCAAGTGATGTTCCGATTACCTATCAACGTAAAGTGTTTTCTTCGGATTCAACACGCTACCCTGGAACTTTCGCAGTCGACTTCGTTGTGCCGACCCTGATTCCCGCACGAAAGGCAGACGCTTCCCTTCCTCCGAGGACAACGTATTTTGAAGACACTGCTTTTGACAGCCTAGCTTCCGATGACGATAAACCTATGCTGATTGTATTACATGGCCTAGCTGGTGGCAGTAATGAGATTTATCTACGCTCAGTTCTAAAGCTTCTTTGCCTTGATCCACCAGTTGACGAGCGGTGGGAAGCATGTGTAGTCAATGCACGTGGTTGTGCCATGAGCAAGATCACCTCTGGCTTGCTTTACAATGCTCGTGCTACTTGGGACATTCGGCAGTTTGTCCAGTGGGCGAGACAGATGTGGCCTCGCAGAAGAATCTTCGCATGTGGCTTCAGCCTGGGAGCCAATATTCTTGTCAATGTATGTGCACATGAAGACTCATGTTGTAATCTGGAAGACGTTCTAACGGCGAACTCTTTAGTACTTGGGGGAAGAAGAGGCAGGTTGTCCTCTTGATGCTGCTATCGTCATCTCCAATCCTTGGAATCTTGAAGTGTCAAGCTTTTTCTTACAATCTACTTGGCTGGGAATGAATGTGTATATGCGCGCCATGGGTACGAGCATGCGTCAGCTCTGGGCAAGGCATAAGGAAGACATCTTAAGAGAAATCAAGGGTATTGATGTAGAAAAGGTAGATAATATGCAGTATCTATTCGAATTCGATAGGTACAGACGCTGTCTGCAGTTTCGATGTCCGTCGGCTGACACCTTGCAATAGATACGTTCAATGTCCCACTTGGGGTTGGCCAACAGTGCGAATTGCTTCTTTGACCTGACTGAATAAACAACTGCTGACTAGACTCTATAGGAAGGTGCATATTACCGTGATGCTTCCAGCGTAGAAGCTCTTATAGATGTACGCATCCCACTATTTGCCATTCACGCACGGGACGACCCCATAGTCAATGATTTTGCGGCGCCATATGAAGAAATCAAGCACAACCCGTATGCAGTGATGGTAGCAACATCTGGAGGTGGTCACCTCAGTTGGTTCCAGTTTGGTGGCGAGAGATGGTTCGCACAAGCTGCAGCAGCTTGGTTGAACAAGATGGCGAATGAGGTTGACTTTGACGCTCTTAGAGAGAGCAGAATTTCGTCAATTTCGAAAAAGGCTAAATAGCAACGCCCAGGTAGCAGATGCAATGTAAAATATGGAGCGTCCGCTGAACTAATATCATACATGTAGCAAACCGGATGCCATACGGTTGAATACGTTCAGCTCTGCTTTTGTTGAAATTTGCTCATGATACGATCCTTAACCAAATGAAACCTTCTTTTTACTACTCCTCTTAACGTTCACATTCTCATCACCCTCATCTGCTAGTTTATCAGCGATACCCCTACTCTTGCTCTTCCACCCTTTTCTCAATCCGTCCTTGAGCTCGTCCAGCTTCTGCTTCTTGTCTTGTTCCTTCTTCTCTAACTCGACACGCCTAGCTTCTCGGATCTCTTCCATCTGTCTGAACTTTTGCATCTTACTCTCAATTTTCCCGTCGCTCTCGGCACTCACCATGGCCAGAATCGTGCGCATACTCTCGGCATCATCCACGAAAACCTTTCCCTTCTTTTTTCCCTTCGGTTTTTGAACGCCTACCGGTGCAACCATATTCAAAGTTGGCAAATTGAGTTGTTTATCGGAATAAGAATGACTTTTTAGGAGTTTATGTTTAGACTTGTTTGCGTCTGCCACTCGACGCTGTGTCATGACTTGGTCAACAACAGTGTTACTCTTTGCAATCTTTGACTTCGCTTTTGACGACGGCTGCTTATGTGCAGGTGTTTCTGATACTTTTCTTGGTAGCGGAAATGCCATAACTGGTTTTGAGGGTCAAGAAATTGTGACAATCAGAGAAAATGAATTTTCAGGGAATGGAGAGAGTAACAAAAAAACGAGTCTACAAGGATCATGCATAAGCGCGCGGCAAGACATTACACTTCAAACCCACGTTTTAGGTTCCTAAGATTGACAGTCGCTCGCCGCTTTTAAGTCAAAACTGAGCAAAGTTTGGACCATCCAAGCTCAAAGTTTGAAATCTCACCTCACTCGAACTTTCTGCACTACGCTATAAGAACAAAATATGGACAGCGACCGACTTTTCCGCTTCCCAAAGCCAGCCTGGCTAAACAGCGGGATGACTCGAAAAGCTGGAGTTTACCTAGCCGGCGCGTTGGTATAGATCCTGTTCTTTTATCTTAGAAGCAAGCCCTCAAATTAAAAATTTTGTGCAAATGCTAACAGCAGAAATAAGTTCTCGATAGGCTTATTCTTACTCATAGATTCCGCTGCCTACTCTAAATCGGCAAAGAATGGCTCCACGTATCATTTCAGCTTCGTTGACTGGATCCCTGGCATCTGTTCCGCGCTGGGTATGCTTATAATAAACTCAATAGATAAGTCGCGCTTGTCTGCGGATAGTTTCTCGTATTCAGGCAATGGAGTCGCGTGGAAAGCAAGGTTCGTGCTGTTTCTCGGGTTCGCACTCCTCGCAGGTGGTTTGGCAGGTTCAGTTACCGTATGCGTGCTCAAATATGTGGTTCCGGGCGCAGTGTTCCCAACACTATGGTTTGGAGTTGCTAATGTGATTTCGAATGGTTTGGTCATGCTCTCGTAGGTTTGCTGGAAGGAGATCTTGAAGAAATTGCACGCTCACGTTTATGGCACAGGTCAGCAGTTCTATGGGTTGCCCAAAACATCGAAGACGAGTACACTTATAGTCTAGCGCTATAGCGGAGTCTAAAAGAGTCTTGAGATGGAAGTATTTTGAAACCTGACGTCTACCAAAATTTTGCACTTTGTGAGCTGCCTACTTTGCCGGTGCGGCGTCGTTGACAATTTTTGTGAATCGAAGGCAATTTTTACCCGTTCAGGGTCATAAACTCGTCATGTTAAATGCAAGCTAGTTACGATTTATATCGAAAGTATTCACTCAATTCGCAAAGACTTTTCAAGCCCAAGAAGTTCCCGTGTTCTCTTTTAATGGCGTAAGGATGAACCTTTTTTATGTATCTATGCACAGCATACGTACATCTTGGACAATGGAAAGCCTTGCTGCATTCTCTTCTCGCCTTTGATTTTACTGCATTATCCTAGACTAGCACCTATCCTCACAAGTGTGCACAAGACCTTTAGCCTCGACTAGAAATCTTCGCTTTCCTTGAAAAACATCGTAAAACTAATGATTGTACTATATATAAGAAGGCCTCCAACAACACTCATCGCCGCTGCCTTCTCGTTAATTAGTGCGCAATGAGCGAATAAGACAGGCAAAGCTGTATGAAATCAGCGCACATTCATCTCGTATATTATAGATACGCAAGAAGCAAGTACAAAGCAACCTAACTGCATTATATGCCAGAAAAAGTACACGTACCTATTCCCATCACAACGAGAAAGCCTGTCAAGAACCTGCCGAAATCCACCATTCCGCTTCCACTAGAGTCCATGAAGTCCTCGTGGCTCGCCGCTCTTCCACATATCCAGTTTGGAAATGGAGCGAGAACGTACGTTGCAACGACAAGAAGGGGAAGATAGTTCTGCCACAGAGCAGATGAAAGGATGACGAGCAAAAAGCCAATTGCTAGCACCTGCGAGACATAAGTCCCAAGACAAAAATATATTTATTTCAATTCGCAAATAAAAAAAACTTACGAAGGACAACACTATTATCGTGCGTATCCCCCCCATCACTTCGGGTGTCCTTTAAAGTTTTGTAGACTGGGGTCAGGAGGCCGAATAGTAAATACCTAACGATAAGATGAAAGGAGGATGACGCGGACCGGCAACAGCAGTGAGTCAAAAAAACGAAGACAATGTAAAATGCGAACTTTGTTGGTAGCCAGAGATGTTCTTGCGGTTCAACGGGATGCGATATGCATAAAGCATATCAAACCAAGTGTTGTGATGCGGAATTCGTTGCATTAGAGGTTGCATTGTAAGCTTGGGCCACCCGCTGGCCTTCTCGCTGACTTCGTACGTCAAAGAAGCCTTGAATCTGAGAATTAAGCCAGTCTCTGTACTGGCGGTAAGAGTCATACTTCTGATTCACCAACTGCTGCTCCGACTTGAAGATATCTCTCTAGTCTCTCTTATATTACGTACGATGTTCAGAAATAACTACGACAACGACGCTATCACATTGTACGTACTTTTCTGCATTTCCTGCTTTGTGTACACTGTAGCTAAGAAAGACATCAGCTCACCGCAAGGACGCATATTTCAGGTTGAGTATGCACAGGAAGCTGTAAAACAAGGCTCCGTTGTCGTTGGAGTAGTCTCAAAAACACATGCCGTGCTCGCTGCTCTCAAGGTTGACACTTGCATACGACCCTATTTGATTTCTGACTAATTCAATTACAGCGCAATGCAGAGGAACTCTCATCTTATCAGAAAAAAATCATCGAGATAGACAGCCACTATGGTATCGCACTTGCTGGCCTTGCCTCAGATGCACGTGTGCTCTCCAACTTCATGAAGCAGCAGTCGCTTGCAAGCCGACTGACCTACTCTCGTCCCATCCCCCTTACTGAGATAACTCAGCGTATTGGCGACCGAGCACAACGCAATACTCAGGAATATGGTAGACGACCGTATGGCGTAGGTCTACTGATTGCCGGCGTGGATGCGAAAGGACCGCATCTGTTCGAATTTCAACCCAGCGGTGTGACCATAGAAATGCTAGCTAGTGCTATTGGCGCGCGAAGCCAAATGGCGAGAACATACTTAGAAAGGCACTTGGATAGTTTCGAAGGAGCTAGCAAAGATGACTTGGTCAAGCATGCTCTCAGAGCTCTGAAAGAGAGTCTAAGCCAAGACAGGGAATTAACCATTGACAACACCAGTGTGGGTGTTGCGGGAGTCGGAGAGGATTTTAAGCTGTACGAAGGAAATTTGTTGGCGCGGTGGCTCGAGTCAACGTTTGAGAATAAGTCAAATTCAGAAATGGATGTTGATGAAGAATAGCCGCTCCGAAGCCATGAGCTGTGTGAGCATATGGACTGCAAGGTGTTCTGGTATAGTATGGGATATAGCTATATAAGCAAGACATAAGATTGAGGTCAATGGATGCCTGCTTCCTGATCTTTTGTCTAACAATATCCAGCACAACTCTTGAGCTTACTAAATAATCTAATAAACCATCGAGCGGTCACCACTATTGAGCAGCTATTTTTGCAGCACCAAACATTAATTATCGTAATGACTTATCTATGTTTCATATACTCGTGATCTAAATGATCATATCAAAAACAAATATAATGTATTATTTGCTGTGTTGCCTTGGTGACTGCTGCATTTACTATCAAAATTGAGGCACCACCATCACCCAGATTCACAAGATCGTAAGGTATTTGAGGTAGCTACATAACAACAGGCCTCTCAGGTTTTTCAACTGCGGTGAACTTGCTTAAATCACACCTACTAAACTGCCTCTTGCATTTCTGATACTCTTTCTCCTTGCGCAATTTCTCATTTTCTGCACCTAGTAGGTACTGCACTGCGATATAAGCACTGAGAGTGGCCTAAGGCACATCACACATGCGTACAGAGTTGTATTTTTCTGGAACTTGGATTGGCTCGCATGGACTGCAGGAATAAGTCTACCTTATGAAGCTGAAATTCGCGCAGCATAACAGCCATCAAGAACTTTAAAGATATATAGAGCAACCATCAAATAATATACTAGTGATCTATCCTATATTTCATATATTCTGAAGCTAGATGATCATATCCACGACAAATATAACATGTAATTTGCGGTGTTGCAGCTGTAACTGGCGCTTCACGTGATTCTTGAGCCTCCTCAACCACCACTGCTGCCTCGCTATTTTGAGTACTTTGAGACTGTTGAATGGGCTGAGTAGCCTGAGCAACATTTAAGCTGATTGTTCTGCTTATCTGTCATCTTTTCAATTGCCTCTTTTTTTTCTGTCGTTCATTGGCAGCCCTTTATCTCTCATTCTCTGCAGCAAGTAGGACCGCACCTTGCATAGATAGCTCACAGCCTTTTATCAGTTGTTGTATTGCCCGATTAGTTGGTGTAGGTGGACTATATAATAGTCTCTTAAGTAGATCTTAGACTGCTCCTATATGCTGGTATAACTGAGTAAGACTATGAGGAGTCTCAGGTATATATTGTTAACTTTCTATAGGTGGAGGCTGAGGTGGGGTGACCGGCCTTGAGATTATTGATAGGATTTGCTCTGGGTTAAAAGGGACAAAGTCCAGTAGTAGTAAATCTGCTGTGGATATTTCTGAGTGAAAATGCCTCTGATTAAGCTGTTTTCAAGCATGCGAGAAACTCAGATTCGTCAATATGGGTAATGCCAAGCCTCATCAGGTTTGCTACCTGATTACCATATACCCTCTTTAAGACTGCAAAACAGCTTACATCAAGAGGCTGTAGCAAGTGTGATGAATATGAAGGCATACATAATATAATGATAGAGTGTTTTTTACAGAAATAATCAAATTCAGGTGTTATATGAGATTCATGCCCATCAAGGATAAGTAGATGGTATGCACCAATAGTGCGTGGTTGTGGATATGGCTCAAATATATCAGTAAGCCACCGAAGACCAAGCTCATTTATTATCCACCCCTTTGGGCTAAGACTGATTACCCAGTCTTGTGGTAATTCGCAGTATTCATACCAATTCTGGATATGAACCTTGCCTTTCAGAATCGCCGTGGGTGGTAGATGTGTTATAAGGTAACATTGAAGTCACATGGGTGATCAGCCTGCTCATTCATGAGCAGTATGAGCAGGTACATGATAAGGAAAAAAGCCCATTGGCTCTACTGGAGTAAGCCAATAATCACTGCAGGAAGTGGTCATGATGATCGTTTATGAGCGGCATGGGCACTTATTTATATTCTCTATAAAAGGACTCCGGTTTTCCTCATTCTTTGAAAACCGTAGTTAAACTGTCTAGTATATCTAGTTTGTTAGTTCTTGAATCTGTTCCTATCTATCGAAGCACACCTATCCTAAGCCATAAAGACTTCTACATTCTTCCTATATACTACTGACGTCCCTTCCTCCATTGCTCTAGGAAGCCCATCCCTTCCGAAGTGGCTTACGTTAGCAAAGTCTTGTCAGATTAGGAAAGGGTTCCTAACACAAGGCTAGGCAATGTTCGCTGATATCCTGTGATATTGGCCAATGCCCCCAAGGTTGGCTCATGTGACTCCAAGACTGATCAGGGAAAATGTAAAGGGGGGGGGGGGGGGGGTTACGATATTTGTTCTTAGCAGAACTTTTTTCCATTCTTCTCCTTTTTTTGCAACGCCTTGCTTTGTATCTAGCATGTATAGCAAGTACACTCGTTATTGAATTGAGCATCTTCGGTTACAACGTTTGCTCTCTCATGTTCAAGTAGTTCTGTGACTCTTGCAGTATAAAAATTAACAAGGTAGGATATATGCCAAAAAGATCGCAAGGATACCAAAAGCCTGAGAAACAGGACGATAAACAAGCTATCTGAACCTAAAAATGTCTCAAATTTTCCGACAGAAAAAAATTCTCATAGTAAATTTTAAATCATAAGCTCTTCATGCGCTGTATGAGCTGATATAGTACTGAAAAGTAGGTTCGATCAGTGATTGGCTCGAATTCGGAATGTCGCGCTTACCGTTATGACTGAGTCTTCCCCACTACCCTCGCTAGCCAAATATACGTAGAGTATTAACGCTTGATCATGACAGAAGCCTTAAACGCATTAATACTAGTGATTGCACTAAGTAAAAGACATACAGGCAATGACTCGGCCACTTAAGCGCCCAACATTGAGGACTTTTCCCCAATCGCGACCGTCGACGAGTACTCTTGCCCACCCTGCATCATCTTTGCCATCTGCGGAGCCAACAGCTCTCATCAAGGTGCTGGGGTGCTGTTGCACACCTTCCTCACCACCAAGTACTTGATTAGGATCGAGTTCGGGATTATGAAGCCCTGTCCAAGTACTTGATATATTCATTGCATCGGTGTATATACTAAGCCTAAGACAGCCGTGCATGTTAGCCTTTATTTCAAGCTTTGCTCCGGTGCTGCCGAGTCCAAAATTGGCGGAACGAGCAGCAAGAGCTAGTTTCGTGAATCGATCAGACACTGTTTTAATCTGCGCTAATGGAGGAAGCTGTATGTGCACATCTGGTTCTCGACAGCGGGGCTCATGCAGTCCCTCTACCAGATGCTGGCTTAGCACTCTAACAGGTATATCCTGTGTAATTACGGTCTCTCTTTGACCCATTGATTCTGTGTTCGTACTCGTGTCGCGGATAATGTTACTAGCATGATTGAAATAGAAATTGCCATCATGTGCAACTGAGTTGATTGCTGTACTGCCAATGGAACATGTGATGATTGTAAGTGAAAGAAGCGGTACGCCATTCTTTTTAGTCAAGCGAATGGAAGTGTAGGACGATGTAAGCGCAGATTTGAGAGCACGGAGGAGTGGTAAGAGCGGCACCTCAAGGTTGATGATATTTTTCGCCGCTGACTGAATCGTGTACGCTTCAAAAAGTGCATCCTGGCGCTGCTGTCAGCGCGACGCCGACATTACCGTCGGTTGCTTACGATTGAAAGGACCCTAAAATATCAGCTTATCAAGACAAAGCATGCAAACAGATGATACATACGCCCACACTTGGGGACCTTGCTCTGGTATAATCGTAACGCGGACTTCCCGCTCACCGAGTCTAATCCATGCAAGTGGTGAGAGAGATGAAAGAGAAGCTGCAAGCTCTAGGCAAAGATATAAGTTGCCTCACGTTGGCTAGAAGCGCACAACATACTCATGAACGTCGCAATATCTTGTATCTGTGATTTGAACCGCATGCTGAGAAGGCTAGTGGGTCGTGCGAAACTCTCAGCCTTGAACTTGAACTTGATTTCCTACTCGGTTTTGGCCGCTCTTAGTCAGCAGCTATGCCCAGTCAGGTGGACTTCGCCAGACGGCCGACACGTGTTAAATTACATAATCCCGCACGTCCCTGTCAATGTCTGTGCGGAAGATCACGGAAACGATGAATGGTGCATAAGTAAGATCGTAAACCTGCTTGGTTCATTGTATGCTGTCTTGACGGATTGATTGTCTGGTCGTTCTCCTGTCCCCTACCCCTGGCTCTCCTCTCTTATCTAGCCAGCGTTTGCTTATGTCACGTGATACTTGGTATGTGCTTAGACTGACAGCCCTGGGCCACACTCGCCGCAGGCGAGTGCCAACCATCAACACGATAATACCATCCATACAATTATTTTAGCAGTATGCTCGTACTGAAATATAGATAGTATGTCAACCACAACAGTTTTCATATTGATTTTCGTACGATAGGAGCCCTGCAGTACGCATGGATGCCCATACAAGCTCTAATTGGCTATGTACAGGCCGATACGCTTGTAAATGACGCCTTTTTTTTTTTTTTTTTTTGCAGATGGCATACCTTTCATACTTGCATAATCATTAATAAGCTCTCTCATTTCAGCCTCGAGCCTACCTTGTGTAATCCGCCGTGCTTGGTGCGAGTATATGACACCCATTGATGATTTGACTGTTGTACGAGATCGCTGTTGACGAGCTTGTTGTGATTGCGCAACTAAGTCATCGTCCTTAGCTCACCAACTGCCTGATCACCAGCAACAGACATACTCAATGCACCAAATAGTGTACGCTTAACATTATCGCTCAGATCCTCATTCTCAAGACAATGATCTATATTCCGCTTAAGTGTACGAATCGTCAATGGTGCCTTAAGCTCTACTGATGATGTTGTACCATCAGTCTTATCTGTAGCCTCGTCCTCAGCCTGACTATTGCTATCAGTAGTATAATCAACCTTAAGCTCAGCAATATCGCGCTGAATATTTGCCTCAAGAATTGCTGCATTTAGCGGATAAAGTCCTGTCTCTCGCCAGCCTTTCTATATCGTACGAGGCTTGAAAGTATGTGCTCGGATTGACTCAATCGCGGCTAGAAATTCGACCTTATTGAATGATGTACAGCCTGTACGCGTTACATGATCAACAGCTTAAGCATACCAGTGCTTATACGGCTGAAAGCAGCCAACGTCCGATGGTTGAAGAAAATACGAGGTACGTGGAGGGAGCCGGTATGCAATTACTTTATGATCCTCGAGGTGCTCAAGGAACTCTTGCGTACAGTGAGAATCGAAGCCATCAAACAGTAAAAGTCGGTATACACCTTGTAGATGCTTTTGGGTCTTTCGTACGAAGTGTTTTGCTCACTCAAGACTGAGCTTGTCATTTGTATAGCCACTGCTGCTATTAGCAACAAGATAGCCATCAGGTAGATCAGTAAAGTAGCGATCAAGTAGGACAGTCCCCTCGATAATTACCATGGGCTCAATCACTCTACCAGTGGCATTGACGCACTCAGTCATTGTGAGGCTCTTACGATTATCTGGCGTAGCCAGAATACGGCGATGAGGCTCAAATGTGACCACCCAATGATCCTTTCCAATTTCAATACGAAAGCCTGCTTCATTGAAGTTCCAGATATCAGCTGCTGCAATGCCATATAGCTCAATAAGCTTGATTAAGCCATTAAACCACTCAAAATAGCCACATTATCATGTGCGACAGCGCGATTGAGCTCAAGGGATCGTTGGCGACGAAGATATAGCTCAGGGTTACGCTTAAGCCAGCGTTTTGCCTATTGTATGGTGGTTAAAGGTGGGCTATCAGCACCCTCATGGCCTTGTTGAAGTAGGTAATTTGCACAAGATACAATCATTGGTAATCGTACAGAAACTCCTAACTGATCAAGCCGAGCAACATAGTTATAAAGCGCTTGATCTTGCACATCTGTGAGCTTATGTGCCAGATGGGCGCTCAGAAAGCTTTGCTCGACCGTTTGAACGTGCGAGGAGGCGCTGATAAGGCACGTTATGCTCACGCGCAAGTTTGCTGAAATTAGGCTTTTCAATATCAGTAATAGAGGTAAGAATCTGCTCAGTCTGTTAATCAATTGAGAGCGCTTATTGAGGCATTGTTGCGGTTGTACGACGCGTAAATGCACAGGTATGCGGTAAAAATTATTGTATTGATGGCATTATCGTGTTGAGGGTCGGCACTCGCCGCAGTCATCAGAGAAGCCTTGGCACGGATACCTAGCGCTCTCTGTTTTCTTTGGATAGATGATTCAGCAAGCTCCCAGCTAACACTGCGAGACAGGGACCTTCTCGTGCATTCCTGCCACAACTCCAAATGAGGGACTCGTAAATGTATTGAAGTAATGAATTATGCCATTCGAAAGTTTGAATCCGGATGCGAAGAAGTTCCTGAGGCACAAAGCTGTTAGCGTGGAGGAGATAGGGCTTCAAAAGGGAACCGACCGCGTAAGTGACTAGTGATTCCTATTCCAAACAATAATGCATGGATGTCTTCCAAATGGCGAGTCTGTTCAAACTGCCTATCATTGATAGCTCTTTTTCTTGTTCGACTCCAAGTAAGCATACCGCATTTTCATTAGGCAATTTGCAGCAAGAATACCGTGGCCCCCGACAATGCCAGCACAATCTGAATGTTCAACTCTTGGAAGATCATTGCAGCGAAAATAGAATGCTAAAAATTTTCGAACAGTTCAATAAGAATCAATATCAGCAAAACTATGAGCATATCCCGGGAATTCGAGAATGGCGGCTCAACCTCACCAGACTGTCACAGGTCTACAATCTGTTCTTAGTCGCCTATCTGGATAAATTATATGTATACGAACCAAGCCACCCAAATCAGGAATTACCTGAAAGACCCTCATTGATATTATCGCCACCAAGAACAACTTTTGCGCAGTACGGCTACCTCGACCAGGAATGTCCACACTCAATCAATCACCTGCTAGTCGACTTCTTCGGGGAGCAAGAGGTTGCTCTAATCGCATGCGACGATGGAGATGTTATAGGTTATTACGTAAACAAGATTCAAGCTGGCATTGACAGACGCCTTGATGCTTACAGTCTCAACACCATTTTTGGTGATGAGATCCACCCTTTTTTCATGCATAACGTACGAATGAGCGCATGGGGGTTGAGTGTACATTCTCAAGCCCGGAAGATCGCAGTAAGTTCTAACACCCACGAAGTCACTGTGATCTCGTTCGGCTTAGTGGAACCTGGGTCTGGAGACTTGTATCATAGCGAGGATCACAAGTTCGTGATGACTGGATACAATAACAATCTACCAACTGTCGCATTCTGCAACACCGAGGATGATCCTCAGGGTCGAATCTTGGTCAGTGGAGAGATCACAGGCCTGATATATCTGCACGAGTTGGGGACACGAGAAAAAAACGAGATTATGCAGATCGGTTTCTGTCTCAAGACAAGTCCTGGCAATCTTCGCTGCGACTGCACCGATCAAAGTGCATATCCGCACTCAATATGGTGTGTGGCGTTCATCGGTAGACACGCTTTCCGCAGGACTGCAGGTTACGCCCCATATAAACAGGGAAAACCAGATTTCGACAAGTACTGGAACGGATCATTAATGAAACATTGCGTCCCGAACTCCAACAGTAAGTGGCTATATATGATATCGTAACGTAAAGGCTTAGTATTCACATCCTTTCAATTTCCTTCAGCAGTTTCTAAGTATTTGCACGGGAATGGATTCTCATTTAGCACAGGTAAATATGAGCTCAAACACGTGCGCGGAAGCTTCGAGACAGAATTTTTGTCAAGCAGCAGCAGCAGCGACAACGATGGCGATGACATCGGTGACGATGGAAGTATTTACGACGATGAAGCACTATCGGATATCTTGTCGACACACTCAACCGACCACTTTCATTCATCTCTCAATACTATGATACATCCATGGCTGATAAACGAGCATTCGTCAAGAACTTCGAGGGAAATTTACCAGTAAGTTAGATACAATAGTGCTCTACTATTGACTGAAGCTCAAATTGCATTACTTTCTTATCTTGATAGCTTGCATACGTCATAGATCATATCCTTTCTATAAACCTCACACTAACTTTGTGCACAATTCACAGGTCGAGTAAAACATTTCACTTTTCTCGATGGCCAAGCTTGAGCCCGACTGAAGAAAGTGATAGAATTTGGGGAAATATTCCCTGCCCACTGCTCATAGCTTCGAAGACTGATATTAATCTTCTGCAACCAGAAGACGACGATGGTTTTGTTAGCCCGATCATCACACTTGAGGAACCATTGAATCAAAAATATGACTTGGGGAACCCTGTAGAAGCACGGCCATCATTTACACAAGCTTCTGTCAACCGGATGAGTCTATTTCACGTTATTGATGAATTGGGTGCACTCATTGTGGGCTCTCCAAATGGAAGGGTCGCCGTGTTTTCACTGCTTCGCACGTACGATTGGGAGGCACGGCCAAATGGGACGTACTTTATGCGACTTGACTGGATTCTCCCTTTTGCATGTCAAGAAGAGGATGGCACGCGACCAGAAAGAAAGCTCTTAGGTCTGGCTGCGAGTCCTTTGCAAGGTCAGTTAGGTCGAGTTCGGATGGAGATCCGAAGACGGTGGAGATTGATGCTATATTACGCTGACCATTCGATTCTGAGCTACGAGATCAGTCTTTCTGATTGAGAGATACGTAATTGACATTTAGCAATTAATTCGACAATGATCGCCTAAAGTGAGGCAGAGACTCTGTCGGAACATGTCCAGTTTAGAGTTAACCATGGTCTATGCTCCAACGGTGATATTGAATGTCTGAAAAGTTATGGCTGAGCGAGGCGTTGAGAATGACTGGCCAGTCTCATGAGAAATAGACTTTCGATTCCAGCAACGTCTGTGATGTTTGCTCTATTCCTAAATGATGGGTCATGATGAAGCCTTACTTAACCCTTTCTCCTTCTTTGGCCTTCGTTGGTGGCCTCATCTGTGCTTGTCTGCAGTGCTTCTGGCTTTGACCCAGCCATCCAGCCAGCAAGGTCGAAGTTCTGCATGGCTGCGGCAGGGTTCGCAGCAGTTCTTCTTTCTTTCTGCATGGCTTCGAACTCTGCTTTTGTCTCTTCATCCATGTTTTCCACCAGGTAAGGCATGCCAAGGAGGAGAGCGAGAGAAAAGAAGGCGATGAGAATCATTGGATTCGAAAGCAAGCTCATGATGGAGACTGCGGAAATAAATTAGCAGAGTTCTATAAGATGGAGCAACGTAAGCACGAACAACCTAGACGTTTTGCATAGTAGTCCTTCACTCCCAAAACATTCACGTAAACGTCTGTGTTTGCTGAGCTTCCCGCAACACTTGCATCGCTTTCTCCACGTATTTCGCCTTTGTTGTCCCATTCGTTGCCTTGAAATGTTTGCCAGCTCTTGATATAGTTCTTTCCATCTACGTCGGTGATGTCGATGCGTAGAGGTTCGAAGACAAACTCTCTGGAGTGTATCTCCAGCAGGTAGCTCCCAAATGGTACACTTCCGAATACGAACTTATTGTTACGATTTAGTACTGTTCGAAGAGAGGCTCCCGCTGCATGTAATGTTGCCGAGGTCGACGATGACAAGGTTGAAGCGGAGAAGGGGAAGGTTGGGTGTGAGATAGAGACAGCTATTTGTGCAGCGAGGGTGATAGGAAGCAAAAGAGTAACGAAAGCTAATGGATAATTTAAGGGAACCATGTTTGATGAAAATGTGCTGTTAAGTGAAGTGGCCGAGAATGCATTTCAGAAGAATGCGTGGCTTGTAGGGGTATTGTAGCATGATTGTGGCGTAGACAAAGAACCAGTTTCATTGCTTCACGGACACCTCACGCAGCTATATTCCTTGAATCTGAGCAGACATATTCGTCTGATCGGATTCACTCTTCAGTTCCCCCCGAAAGCGGATCTACATGTGAATTTTTCTGGAATCGATATAAGTTCGTCTACAAATTTGAAGCACGACCCACCTCTTTGGATACGTTCAGGGTCACATTACCACCTTTTATCCATCTTAGCAACAGTCATTGTCATCTCCAAAAGACTGATACTTTGTTCCTCAATTCAGGATCTATTGTTTCGAAAAGAAGAACATTTTGAGGACTCATGATGGACAGTCGTGTTGATCTGGCTAGACTGAGGGAACAGACCATCAGCCCACATGTTGACGAGGAAGCCGTGACGGTAAACAGAAGAGCTCTTATTGACAAGATTCTTGCAAGATATTCCGGAGCTTGGACAACTTTGAGAGAATTGATACCGAATGCTGCTGATGCATCCGCTAAGAAGGTTACCATTAGGTTTGAGTCCTCGCCATCGACAAAGGTTCCTTTTCCTGGCGGCAATGGTATTGATAATGCTGCATTGTTGAAGCACACCCTGCAGCAACACAGTATTTACAGAATATTGGTTTCGAATGATGGCCAGTCTTTCTCTGACAGTGACTGGATGCGGCTGAAGCGCATCGCTGAAGGAAACCCTGACGAAACGAAGATAGGCGCTTTTGGCGTGGGCTTCTACTCTGTGTTTGCAGATTGTGAAGAGCCTTTAATTCTATCCGGCCGAAAGACCATGGCATTTCTGTGGAAGGGAAACAGCCTATACACGAAAGCCAGTACCATTACAGCCGACTGTGCCGATTCTGAAATCACATTCCTGTTACATTACCGCAACGCGACATCACCTATTCCGGATCTGCTATCTTTATGTAAATTTCTCTGCTTAAGTCTCATTTTTGTTGCTTTGGAGTCAATTGAATTATGTCTTGACAAATGGAATATCATTTCGCTCACAAAAAGAGTGCTCCAGGCGCCAACATATCTATTTCAAAGAATATCAATACCAAGACTAAGGAGGGTTTGATGAAGATCGTAGCAGTTGCACACCAAAATACGCAAATCAACACTAAATGGCTCAACGCGATTGATTGGTCACCTGCCAAACAAGGCCAGATTGCCGAAGAGTTGATTGATATGGTACCATAACTTAGGAGCCTGTTTTCACGTTTTAGACCGAGAAACTCAAGCGCAATCGCAGCGACACAAAAACCGGCGAAGGAATTAGAGATGGAAAAGCACGTGTAAATCGCCGAAAGTGTTACCTCGTCTTCTGAGGCCACGGTCTTTTTGAGGATAAGCACCGTCAATATTCAGACGTACGTTTCAGCATCTTTTGCAGCAGAACTTGAGAGAGCAACGAAGAAACCACCGCCGAAGCATAGTTGCATCGCCATCCTAACATTGCCACACGACAAGGCTTGTGCCTCGATCTCAATTTACTCAGGAGTAACTGCCCACAAAGCGACGGAACTCTTTTCATCTGTGCTACCGAATGAACATGGACGAATTTTCATTGGCTTTCCGACTCCACAGACTACTGGTATTCGTTGTCATATATCAGCGCCGGGCGTCATCCCTGCCGTAGAGCGTGAAAGCATAGACTTGAATGCTCGCTACGTAAAAACGTGGAATATTGAGATGCTGCGCGCGGCGGGTATCGCTTGCCGTATTGCGTATACCAAGGAGATAGAAGAGTTGAAATCTCGACTCAAAATCTCGATGCAATCTGAAAGTCGTGCTACAATTTCCGCAACCGATATCGAATCGGTCGCGCCGCAGGTGACCCACGTATTTAAACAGCTCACAGCAACCGAGTCCACGCCTTCTTCAAGTGTTGGTCAGCTGATTGGGGAGGCATTCTGGGATTGCTCTACGACGGCTTCAGTGGACATATTGTCAACGAAGGGCATTCTGCCTAGTCATCAAGTGCGAGTTGTATCGGAGCCTCTCAGATTTGTTGAGAATGTTCCACTCGTACCCGCATCAATTGTCGCTGACGCTGAAGATTTTATCAGACAACTATTTGAACGTGGAATGGTGTCGGACATGACTGTGAAGGACATTCAGAAGGAATTGGAAAGCAGATCACTGACTGAGATACAGCTGATAGCTTTTTTGAGATGGTGTTCTGGGCAGCTTAATAGCAACCAGTTGGATACCTCAACCATTCGCAGCTTGCTTGAATCGGCTATCGCAACTATTGGAGCTCAAGATAGTGGCAAGGTTGTCGCGCTTTCTCAGATCAAAACGTTCTCAATGGGAGCAAAAATCACTACTAATATGCCCCTTCCGGATCATACTATCTCAATGAAGCTCACTAAGGGCATGAAGCGATGGCAGCTAGAACAGTTTGGATGGGAAGAGCTTCAAATTGTTCCGTGGTCACGTTTCATTATCGACGGGGCAGACCGAAAGCATCTTTCACCCGATCAGTCTATCCTTGTTTCTCCCGTATTCGCGCAACAGTACTTCATCATAATATCAAAGGCCTGGGACTCATTGAACGCAAGTTCGAAGCAAGCACTGATCAATCTTCTTAGATCCCATGCGGTCATGCCGACAAAATTGGGGATGCGCAAACCAGCTGATGCGTATTTTCCATCTGTCAAATTGTTTGATGACCTCGCCACAATAGATTTGCCGACAGGAGTGAAGGAAAAAGTAATGACTGCGCTCGGTGTACGCAAGACGATCGAACTCAATGTCGTCTTTGATCTTTTGATGAGCCAGTCACCTAAGAGTGAACAGAAATGGAGTTTTGCAGATCAAATCCGATACCTAGTCTCAGTGCGCGATGATATACCAAAGGAAGATATTGAAAAGCTTAAAATCGCAACAATTTGCCCAGTAGGAGAAGCTGGTGGCGAGCTTTTGAAACCGGGGCGTTTATGTAAAGTCTCTGAGCTATTTGAGCCAAAGGACATACTCAGAACGCTGACATTGCCTGTTCTATATTGGCCCAGTATTTGGCGTCCTGAAGGTCCTGAGGGGCGTTTCTTGAGTAATTGGGGTCTGAGCACGTATCCGGACGTTCTCATCTTGGTGGGGAAGATACTCGAGGCTGCTTCCAGTATTTCGTGGACTTTCATCACGCAAACAGGTATGGTCGATTTGATATTCGAAAAATTGCGAACACTCCAATTCTTCGCGTGGAAGGGAAACATTTCCCCCTTCTTTATGCTCCAAATAACTGTTACTGGAATGAGAGAGCTTCAGAGATGGATTTTGCGATATTAGCGGCTGATTTGCGACCGCACGCTCTCAAATTTGGCGTCGCACGAGACCCATCTATTCAGCAATGCGCTACTCGACTTACTAATGCACCACCAAAGTCAGTCCGCGAAGCAATAATAGTTTTTGGATATCTTTCTGGCCGTTTAGGTGAAATAAATGCACAGCTAGCAGAAGCGATCGGTAATTCAAAAATTGTACCAATATTCAAACGGCTAGGTGAGAAGCAGACAGTTCGTTACGCTAAACCAAAGGTGGTGTTCTTGGGTGATCCGCAAACTTATGGAGATGTTCTTGATTTTGTTGATTTTGGTCTAGAAGCGAACTCCTTTTTGTTGAAGGTTGGGTCCAAAAGCAAGCCAGGCAGTCTCGAGTTGGCACATATGGTCATCGATAATCCGTCCAAAAATTTGGGTGTACTCGATAAAACAAGATATCTCGATCTGTTGAGGAAGCTTGCTGGTATCCTGACAACGCTTAAATCAGAAAAGGCTCTATGGCGTGATATGACGCACTCTGCCTTTCTGCTCGGCTACACCGAAGAGCTGGACGATTCGCGCAAATCAACAAAGCGTTCCAGGGATGACGATGACTTCGCTGCTGATGATGACATCACTTTCATCCGTAATTACAGCTTGCAGCGACCTGAAAATCTTGTCGTGGTAGATTCCTCCTTTGAGTATGCTATATTTCGAGAGCATCTTTGCTTTGCACCAGAGGACATGGCACTTGAGCAGTTCTACGCCGCTTTAGGAGCACCGATGCTGTCCTCGTTGGTTGAAAATGACGATCGTATTGGCAATATCCCTCCCGATCAAAATCTAGCCCGAAAATTTAGGGGCCTCGTCATTGAGCGAACTCGAATTTTTCTCCATGAGTATTCTGGGGAGTTGCGACTTGAGGCCAAGTGGCTAGAAAAGAGCTTGTCTGTTGTTATGGTCGATCGTATAGAGAGAAGAATTTCTCTGCAAGGCTATGAAATTAGCCCTCACCGCGAAAAGCGAACGGCAGCAATAAGTGACTATGGCAGAAAGGGGGTCACCCTTTTCATCATGCAGACTCCTGATTTCTATGAGGTCAGCACATAAATTGCACGAACACTTCTCGCGCGGCCTCGACACAATGACTCATCGCACTAGAGTCTGTAATGAGCTCTGATCTGCGTAGACTTCGGGCTAAAGGTTACAATGTAGATCGTATTTTGGCCCGCAAGGAGTATGAGAGTCGCATAGCCAGGGAAAAGCAAGCTGTTAAAACAAGAATCCGTGTTGAGGAACAGCAAAAGCCGGAAAAGGAAATGAAAGATTGTCCAAGCAAAGTCAGAATAGCGAATATCCAACAAAAGAGGAGTCCTTCACGTCAAGAGAGGACAGATCGTGTAATGGAGCCTTCGAGGCTCTTATGCCTCATGTGCCAGGCACATTTGGGAGCCCAGAAGACGACTTCCCTGGGGATGCTGTGAAACAAGGCAAGAAAACGACAAGTATACTTTCCGCATTCCAGGATTCAATGCAGGGCTGGGGTCAAAAAATTCGTCGAGGTCGCAAACATGATAATCAAAGTTCGTCTGTATCTGGGGATTTTCATGATGATGGACTTGTATACCATAATGACCTGACTGTTGGCCCTAGTCATCACGTCAATCCCACCGAGAGCGAAAGGAGACTTCTACGCAACCTCTCAATAGCCATACAAGCTTGTCGCGCTCACAGTTCCAGTCGCATCTTCTCTCTCCCAGAACAGTCCACACTTGAGGAAGCAAAAGGAAATCACTCTGACAATAAGCCTGCTCAAGACATTGCGTACGCTTCCACGTCGGCAGGAGGCATCAGTTCTACCTCGTGACCACAGATTCCGGCGTAGATGCATTTTTGGGTTCGGAGTCTTCGAGCATCGACAATTTTTCGTACGTCCTTCTTGATTTGGGCAACATATTCAATCTTCCAGCATTAGCAATGCACATATTCTACGACGATGGCAGCGCCACCATAGCATTTAACTACAATGGAGCCCTATTTTTCAACTACTACTACTTCAAGAGTTTACACGCCAGCACGTTTGAAACAAGCAAGAGCACGAAGATGGATGTGTTGGTATATTGGTGGATCACCATGTACCACGAGTTGGCTCACAACCTGGTTGGAGAACATGGTGCCCAACACAGCTTCTATGCAGAGAGTTTTGCACAAGGCTATTTTGGGCGAGTTATGCAGAAGGCACTTCAGTATATGTAGTCTTGTAGGCTTTTAGCGGAAGATGCTCTTGTAGAGTTTCTGTGACAGAGAAGGGAATCCGTTCGATGAGTCTTAAGTGCTTCAAGGCGTGAATTCTAAGATGCAGAGGTACATTAGCGAAGCGAAGATTGCTTGGTTCAAGCACTTAGCTAGTCTTCAGCAGCATTGTTTTCTGATATATGTCCTCTATGTCATATGAGTTATCATTCCATACGCTCACATATTTTCCTAGTAATCTGCTAGTCCCATGCATCAACTAATTGAAAGCTTGCTTATTGCTGAAATTGTCTAGTAATTTAGTCGAAGTCGCAGATTCAGTCAAAAGCAAGTGCCCAAGGTATAATTACAATAACTTTAAAGAAATAATTGACACAATAATAAAGGACATAAAATAGCGGGTGTCACAGGTTCCCCAACGACACATGATATGCACCATTGTTACCTTAGTAGAACCAAGGTTGGTCAATATCCGCCAAGAAGTCAGATGGATCCCGGCCCACGAAGGGATTAAAGGAAGCGAGGAAGCTGACCTAGCCGCAAAGGAGGTCACCGGGTGGAGAGAAGAAGACTGTGCAAGACGCGACAAAGCAAACCAGCCACCAAAGCTATTCGCTCTTAAGGCCACACTGAAGATATGGACAGGAAAGAGAGCAAACAAGATGTGGCAGACCGAGTAGGCGCAAGAAAGTAAGGGACGGGGTGATATACCGCTATAACCCAACGCTCTCCAAGCACACTCTAAAGCTACAAAGGGGCCTAAGTAAAACAGAGAGCGCGCTTCTAACACAGATGAGGACAGAGAAGATCGGCCTACGCCACATCCTAACCAGCCGAAGAGTACCTGGATATCATGACACGACCTGCGAATGCCGCCAGGGTCCACAAACCATTATGCATGTTCTGCTGCGGTACAAGACGCTCCAGGAGGAAAGGAACCGATTCTCCAAATGGCAACCGGGGAGGAGCAATCTCAGGATAATCCAGAATAAGCGTACTCTAGCAATCAAGGTCATCAATCTTATGGAACTCGCCTTTAGGGCAGATGGTGAACAGAAAGATATGATAAACAATGCGGAGTATTAAGGGGATTTAGGTATACAAGATATATTATAGAGAGCGCATGTAAGGGATTGGTGATAGAAGTGTGAGATAGTTTTATTCAAGAATATCCGCTAGCTCCTGAGAGTCTCTCCTCTGAGCCTCCTTAAATGCATGTGTGCGAAGTAGTCACGTGCGTCTCACCGCCGCACAGGCTGCGTACTTGAACTTGAACTTGATTTCCTAACTCGGTTTTGGCCGCTCTTAGTCAGCAGCTATGCCCGATGTCAATGTCTGTGCGGAAGATCACGGGAACGATGAATGGTGCATAAGTGAGATCGTAAACGTGCTTGGTTCATTCTATGCTGTCTTGACTGATTGATTGTCTGGTTGTTCTCCTGTCCCCTACCCCTGGCTCTCCTCTCTTATCTAACTTAGCCAGCGTTTGCTTATGTCACGTGATACTTAGTATGTGCTTAGACTGACAAAAACGGAGAAGGAAATCAAGTTCAAGTTCAAGCCCTCAGGCATTAAAATCTTTTAATAAGGATATTATCGTATAATTATAAAGTATTAATTAAATAACTATATAAGCTGAAATCTAACGTCTAATACATGTACGAGCAGTATGTTTAAGCGATTCACATAAGCTGCATCGTGATGGAGCACGCGTTTTTGCCCCCGGATCTACCGTACGACCAGTACCTTGCTGTGCTTCAACTTAGATCTGCTCCTCTAGCTGACGTTTGTACACTCTGTTTTGACCCTCATCTACAGTTAAGGTATTGCCAGTTTGAATCCTCGTACGACGCACTGCTCGCTTGCGATTTTGACGTGCGTTTTTAACACGTAATGCGGTTTTCTCAACTTATAGTATAGCCCGTTCATGTACAACAGTCTTAAAGCCTTTCAACAACTATTGAAAGGCAGAATCAGAGGGTGAATAAGTAGTATTCGTACGGCGCCGATGCTACTCTTGAATATACTGTGCTTAACGCTTCACCTCCTTCATCGTACGAGGCGTTTTTGACTCCCATACTGACTCCTTTGTAGGAACAGGGCTGGGTATTCGTATGAACGGATTGAGGGTTGAAAGGACGCGATCTGGGTTGTACGGTACGAGGCCAGTAGCAGCAAATCCACTCCGGATATTCTTCTCAGTAATTGCTTGTACGTGAGCTGGGTAGTATAGCTGTAGGAACTCCTCTTTATCAATATGGTTGATGCCAAGCCTCATCTTACCTTCCACTTGCTTGCTGTACGACGCCTTTAACAGGCTGAAACAGCCTACATCCAATGGCTGAAGGATATGAGAGGAATGGGCAGGCATACAGGCTGTAATAATCTGGTTCTGCCTGCAAAACTCCTCAAATTGAGCTGAATGATGACTCCCGTGCCTATCTAGTATGAGTAAGCGGTATTGGCCTTTCGTATGACTCTGTATATGCTTTTGGAAGTGCTGGATCTACTCAAAGCCGATCTCATCGTCCGTCCACCCTTTCTCACTAATAGAGATTGCCCAATCGGACGGTAGATTGCCCTCTGTATACCAAGTGCCTTGGTGGATCTTTGCCGCGAAGATAATGTGGCCTAGAATTGACCAACCCTGCGAATTAATACCGTGTACGACAGTAACCCCTTCTCGATTACCTGGCTGTTTTGTCTTCGGACGACCCTTCCTCTCAACTCTTGTAACTACTATTGAAGTTGAGATAACCCCCATTTGGAAGCCAGTCTCGTTAAAGTTGTAGATATCCTCCTCAAGTATACTGTATTTCGCGGTCAGGTTTCGTACGAGGCTGAGCCAGCCTTGAATGAGCACTGGATCCTCACATTGCGCGCGCTGGTAATCGTACTTTCAATTATACATCGTACGAAGCGATTCGTGTCAATTAACAAAGTTGGTGACCCAATTCTTGGCAACTGTTTCTGGGGGTGACGCGTCGCGGTTCGCGAGGAGGATATTCGCGATTTCTCGTACGATAGCTGTCCCTAGAGGAAATCCTTGGTCATCGAGATCAAGGATGCGTTGAAGAAGGACCTCTTCCTCAATAGGAGTCAGTTTTTGAGTCGTACGATGTGAATCGTGTCGAGATAGTATACCACGATGTCGTCGAATCAAGGTATCTTTAGGAACATCATACGCACGCGCTGCAGCTCGTAAACTTTGAAATTGACCTTATAAAAATGCCTGAAGAGCTAAAGAAATACGACCCTCTTTTTCTATATTATATAAGGGTTGCATTGTTATGAAAAAAATTAATAAGTACAAGAATATATAATGCGTCTATAGGGTGCCTCAGTAGCTTGGGTGTGGTACTAGCTTGTGAATCACGTTAGGAAATCAAGTTCAAGTTCAAGATCAATCAATGAAGACCAGCTGTCCCAGTTATCCTCCCGTCTTTCTATCAACCATTATTATCAATTTTACTGATATCGGTTGTACTGCTAGTAAAGCTGTGTTGTCTAGGCTCTGAGAGGCAATGCCTCGTATTTTGCCCTCCTCATACCTACAGTCTTCCCCAACGCAACGACCTTGTCTACGCGTTCTCGATCCTGACATGCCCAAGAATCCGCGTCTGTTCCATAAATCTGATGGCTTTGGTGGCTAGCTTGCGCGTGTTCAGGATTACGCGCAGGTTATTCCCTCCTGGATATCGGCCAACTTCCTGTCTTTGGAGGTCTCTTCGGTTCCGGCAGTCCAGCAGGATATGTGCGACGGTCTGCCTCCTACTTCTGCAGTCGCACCTCGCATCCGAGTAACCTGGCAGGCATCGACTAGAGAGGACGTCTCTGACGAATCTTTTCTGTCCTCATCAGGACGAGTATTGCGCTTTCGCGTTTGCTTCATTCCTCATGTAGCCGAAGTACTCTCTTCATTGGCGTGGGAGTGTGCGTGTGGCGCTTCCCTTTGTCTCCGCAGCCCAGCTTGACGCCCTCTGCCTATTCACTACCTTCTTTGTCCAGGTCTTGAGTGTTGTCTTTAGTGCATACAGCTCCGGTGGTGTTTCCGCTTTTGGCCCATTCTGGCCATCCTCTCGCCATCCTGTCGCCTCTTTAGCTGCTATATCCGCCGCCTCGTTTCCTTCTATTCCTTTATGAGCTGGTATCCACCGGATAGTGACTGGTGTCCCTTGGTCTTGCAGTTGTTTGATTCTGTGGATAATCTGCTTAACGTTGTATGCTCCGGACCTCCCTTCTGGTCTCACCAGCGAACATATTGCAGCTTGATTGTCTGTAAAAATGGTTACTTTCTTATGGTCACCTCCTGTTGCGACACTGTCCAAAGCCATGCTCAGTGCTAGGTTAATGCCCTGCAATTCTGCTGCATATACAGTGGATGTTTCGACTGTTCCCACATATGCCTGTCTTGTTTGGTGTTTGCTTGGCCACACCGCTGCGGCTCCGGTATGGCCATCAATGCAGCTTCCGTATGTGTAAATGCGTGTTACCCTGATCAGATACTGCCAAGTCGTGCAGGGAACGCGCTTCATCGTCGCTTGTCTCTCTATATATGCTTGGACCACTGCTCCACGGGGCCACATGAATGCTGGGATCTGTTCCCTGTTGCTGAGGCTTGTCGCGCCTTCCATTTCAACCTGCTCCAGTGTATCCTGCAGCGGGCTGGAATATGTTCCCTTCCGTGCAGGTACTGCTTCTGCATTCGTTCGCCTTGCAATCCTGAGTTCCGGCATATGTTGGCTGCAGAGGATGTGGCCTAAGGCCTCGGCATTGTGTTTCCAAATCTGCTGTTCGATTGGCAGCAGGTGTGTCTCCACATCTAGGGCAGACCTTGATGTGGCTCTGAAAGCTCCGCAGATGGCTCGCGCGCCTCGTGCCTGAATAGACCGGAGGGTGTTAAGCGTCTTTGCGGTGTATGGTTTTCCTTTCATTCCCACATTCAACCATAAGGAGCATGCGTACATCATCTGTGGGACTGCGACTCCCCGGTAGATCTTCCTTGCGTCCTGCAGGCTGATCCCCCATGTAGAGCTGCCTAGTGAGCTCAGCGCGTTGACAGTCGTATTGGCCTTCCTCCTAATCTCCTCTGTGTGCCTTCCAGTGCAGCTTGCTGTCCAGGACGACCCCCAGATACTTGCATGTAGCTTTTGGTGCAATGTCTCCCCAAGGCGTTTGGAGGGGTAGAGCCTTGTCGATCCTTGTGGTGGATCGCATGAAATTTGTGAGCTGGAACTTTTCGGGTGCGAACTTGGAGGCATGGCTCCGAGCCCACCGATCAGCCGCTGTCAGCGCCACCTCCAACTTTTTGCACGTCTCTTCTGTGGTATCTCCCCATGTCAGTATAGCTGCGTCATCTATGAAGCTAGTGGTCGCTGTGTCTTCGCCGTTGTCGCATTCTTCGATGAGATCCGAGTTATAGAGTACATAGAGGATCGGGGGTATTGGTGAGCCTTGGGGTATACCTGTCCCGACTGCATATTCGTCGGATTCATATCCGTCTATTACGATCCGCGTGTTTCTATCACAGAGGAAACTTGCGATCCATGCTACGATCCTCTTATCAACCCTCCTCTTTCTCAGGTTGTGGAGGAGCCTCTTATGGGACACATTATCGACTGCTCCTGACACGTCGAGGAGCAGGAGGCTTGCAACGTGGCCTTGGCCTGTGTTCCATGCCTTGTATATTCTTTGAATTACTGCATGTTCCGTCGAGCGTAGTTTCCTGCCGCCCATGTGCGTTTGTGGGATAACTTGGTATTCCTCCACCAGGTAGCTTAGCCTCCAGGCTATAACAGCATCCATGGTCTTACCTATGGTGTTTAATAATGCGATCGATCGATATGCCTTTCGTACTTTATAGTTGTCTTTACCTGGCTTGCGTAGAAAGACTGAGGTGGATTTGCGGAAGTGTTTTGGGTAGTACCCTAGATTCAAGCTTTGGTTCATGATGCGTGTGAGGTGAGGGGATAGCAGAGTCGACGCTGCCTGTAGTGTTATATTGGGTATACCGTCTGGGCCCGGGGCCTTGAGAGGCGATGCTGCTTTTATCGCATCTAGGACTTTCTCTGTTATCTCTGACATGGTGAAATCGTCCGGGTATTGCGCATCTTGTAGGTCCTCTAGATCTGCTCCTGGTGGTGCGGGGAAGAAGGTTTCTCGGAACAGTTCGGCCTTCTCCCGGGGTTCCGTGGCTGTCCATCTTGTGCCTGGCCTCTATATCGCTGGTGTCACGCTTGGTGCTTGGTTTTCTCTCATCCGTGCCCATTTGGCTAGCTTCCAAAGCGACTCGGTCGAGCTCGCTGCCTTCTCGACCTGGTCACGGTGTTGCCCGTCGTAGCGCTCTTCTGACTAGTCGGGTCTTTTTGTTCCTTGCCGCGCGGTACGCTTCCCAGGCCTCTTTCGTGTGGCGTTGGCTATATCTGCGGTGAAGCCGTTTCGTCTCTGCTATTGCACTGGCGCACTCCTCGTCCCAGCCAGCCTTCGCCTCAGGCGAGTATCGGGTTAGGGGCAGTACTTTTGCTATTGCGGTATTGATCGCTTCAACCACCGCAGTCGTATATATGTCGAGGGCGGCCTTCGTCCTGGGTCGCACCAGCTTTGGCAGTGTCTCTCTGAGTGCTTCCTGAAACTTTTCGGCATCCAGGCGCTTCCAGTTCCTTCGGGGCTTGGGCTCACGTTGGTGGACGCGGATATCGAGAGAGAATGATCTGAGTCGTGATCCATGTCTCTATTAACCTCGCTCCTGATCAGCCTGTCCGTTAGCCCCGGCGTCATCCAGCATAGGTCGATGGTTGACTTTCCCAGGCCCTCCTCGTATGTGATAGGGCCTGGCTTGAGTGTGTTTGACATGTTAAAGCCTTCCATAAGTTCTATCAGAGTCTCTGCTTCCCTATCCTCTTATCTAACCCTCGGTCCTCCCCACTCTCGGTGATGTAGGTTGAAGTCGCCGAGTGCCATTTGTTCTTCTGATTCCTGGCTGGCTAGCGCTGCTTGGAGCGTAGGTAGTGCACTTATGCGGCCCTCTGAGGCTTGGGTCGGGTTGTAGATATTATGTATACTAAGCTGTCTTAGTTGTTGATCGTTACTGCCGACCTTAATTTTCAGGGTGCACATATCCCTGGTATGTTGCTCGAACTGCCATATCGTGGGGTCGAGCCACTTGTTGATGTAGAAGCATAGCCTGACCATCCCTTCCTCCTCGCTTCCTGTTAGGTAGCACAGGTGAAAGATATTCTTAGCCGGGTGGTCTGTTGTTGACATAAAGGGGTTCTTCCATGGTTCTTGAATTACTAGTATGTCATACTACGCCACCCTTGGGTCTCGTAGCAAGGTCGCCATGACTGTCCTTCGATTTGCGTACGATGTACTGCAGTATGTTCAGTTGTTGTTGTTGTTCTGTCATAGATCAGCGCCGGTGTCGATATCCATTTGCATGCCACTACGCCTTAGTGTATTGGTCTCAAGTGCCTCCAGCGCTCTCCTGGAGGGTATCACTGCTCTTTGCGGCCGTTGGCTCGAAGTAGGAGGTTCGTTCTCCTTGTCCCCTGCTGGGCTGCTCTCTTCCGTCCTCTTCCTGGTGGAGAGCCTGATCGGTTCGCTCTTGATTTCAACTGCTGGGTCAGGTCTCTCGCTGACCTCGATCTCCTGAGTGGTTCTCGTGCTGGTCCCTGCTGGCTTAATTCGGCGCCCGATGCCGTCGTGGGATGGTACCGCGGCCTGGTCACATACGCTGCCTTGGCTCTGGCTAGCTCTTCCTTCCTATTTGGGCATTGCTGGCTCCATGCCTCGTGCGATCCATGGCAGACCGCGCACTTTCTCGTCACGTCCCGGTCCGCCTTCGTTGGACAATCCATAGAACTATGTTCCAGCGCGCAGTAGCCACATGTCTTTGCTGCCTTGCATTGGGTTCCCATGTGGCCACATTTTTGGCACTGGAAGCACTGCTTCAGGCGGCAATGTCTCTCCTATCGCTCGCTCTGGCACATCTCCCCTTGCCATACCAGACCCTCGTCGATGATCTTGTTTGCGTCTTCTGGTTTTATGAACTCGATGATGATGGAGGACATCGCCTTATTTGGCGGTTTTCTGGTTAGCCAGCCTATGTACTTGATGTCTGCTGTCTGGAGGGATGCTCTGTTGTCTTGTAGAATAGTATCCCTGACTTCCTCGAATTTCTCGGTGTCCGTCGTGCTTGTGCTTATGCCATGTACGACGACCCTGTACGTAGGGTTTCGCATCGACGTTCCGCTTCCAAGTCGGGGGACCCAGTCTTCCGTGAATTGGCGAAGCATCTACATGTCGTGGTTGTTTGTAGTCCTGATGCTGAGGTCTCCGCTCTTGAGCTGGTTGGCCGACATGATCGTGACCTTAGTTACATGCTCATTCTCACTTTGGGCGATAGGTCTGTCAACGTGGGCTTTCATGTTGCGTGGGTTCATGGCGCGGAGGTTTTGGATCGTCTGGGGGTTCTTTATGTTCACGATAATCTCACGCTGAATTGGAGCAGGAGGTATCTTAACATTTTGTGTGCTGTATGTACTTGCTGCCAGCGCGCCACGTGTAGCAGCGGCGGCATAGCTGACTGGTATGCCCCCTTGATGCTGTGTTCCTTTGTTCTTTATGTCTCTTGCCATCCCCACGACCGTTTTGCCTACTTCTGCTGCCTCCTTCGCTGCCACGGTTGCCTCTTCGCCTACCGTGACACCCCTTTGCACGTTCGCCGTCAAACTCTTGAGTTCTTCCTTGATGTTGGCTATCTCTTTCGCCGTCCCGTTCGTATTCTGGGTCAGTTCAGTGTGCATGATGCTCATCTTGTCGTAGACTGTTGTCCGGTCAGGGGCTCTCTGGACTTTAGTTACCATAGATAGCGCTGCCATGATTATTGTCCTCATCTTTTCCCAGGTTACTTGTTGCTCTTTTTCGCGATCGAGATGGACCAGTACATTCCGAAAGTGCTCCAGAAGACGTGTAGCGTGCTCTTGGAGTGGTATTGGCCATATCGCTTGTTCGGGCCAGGGGATCGACATCTTCGCGTTCTACGCGCGTTGGGCGTCGCGCTGCGGTTGCTGACGATCTCAGTTCCTCACAGGTAATGTGTATGCACAATAGGACAATTCAATTTCAAAAATCAGAGTTCTCGCTGTTGTGGTGTTTTTTTATGTTAAAAGAACTGATAAAACGATACATCTGTTGGTAAATCAGCAAGCACATAACTCAACTGACATATCCGTTGTACATAGATTTGCACCTCACAACCCCTGATTTTACTTGATGGCGCAGCTCCACGCCCAAAAGCGAACATTACTACTTGTAGTTATCCCTGGAGTCACATCTCCTACTTTTGGCTTAGTGCAGATTGTGACTGGTACGGGAGCGCTAGCGTGAGCCTCTTGCTACGTACACTCTGGCCGAAATGCGAGTCCGAAAGTCTTAACACTTCCCTAAAGCCATACTTAATCTCCCTCTTCTTGTTTTCCTTCAACCGCGATCAAGAACCTTTTTCAATCTCATGAGAAGATCTTTGCGATACTATCTTCAGCATGAATATCTTCAGGCTTCTCGGTACGCACCATAACTTTTTATAAACCCGCATCAAGCTGTTCCAGTATGAGAGACAATTGGGACTAATGGCCTGGTGTACAGCGGACTTGTCCCATTTGGTCAGCATTTTTGTGCTGCTGCACAAAATGCGGAGCTCGAGTGTAAGTACTATGCTCCCTTGGTATCGGTGCCGTCCAGCTAATCGTGGTGGTGATTTGCGCAGAGCGCCTCGGGTATATCTTTCAAGACACAATTTCTGTATCTCCTCGTCTACATCACGCGCTACCTCGATCTGTTATGGACTTTCTACCGCCCATCTTCGCTGTACAATACGATCTTCAAGATTATCTTTCTTGCCTCCTCCGCATACACCGTGTACCTGATGCTCAACGACTACAAGCCGACGCACGACCCTAACAACGATACTTTCAAAGTGCAGTACCTGCTCGGCTTCAGCGCTGTCATGGCGATCCTCTTTCCATACAAATACACAATAACCGAGATTCTGTGGGCGTTCTCAATCTGGCTCGAGAGTGTCGCCATATTGCCACAGCTTTTCATGCTTCAGCGGACAGGGGAGGCCGAGACAATCACGACACATTATCTTTTCGCCCTGGGCATTTACAGGGCGCTGTATATCCCGAACTGGTTATATCGATACTTCATTGAAGTGCCTCCATTTTTTGACCCCATCGCAGTCGTTGCAGGTGTAATTCAGAGTGTACTCTACTCAGACTTTTTTTATATCTATTATACCAAGTGCGTCTAGTTGCCGTGTGCAGAATCTTTTCTGGAAATGGTTGTACTGATGAGAGAACAGGGTGCTTCAAGGGAAGAAGTTCAACTTACCTGTTTAGAGAGCTGCTCTGCGACCACGAACGTCTTATGTCCACACGTAAACGGAATGGAACCTGGTTGCCTGGAATTCTTTGGTCTTGTATTAAAATTGCGCGCAGATATTTTACTAGACCTATTTGGTCTGTCAGGCGCAGCGTCAAAGGATCAAAGAACGTAGAATAACACTGGAGTTATTGGAGCGCAGAGAAAAGGTAACATGCTATTTGAAGCAATCCGAGAGAGCGCAATTGCTCGTGTATGATATTTACAAGGAAACACTGAAGAAGAGGATTTGAAATGGGTGTTTTGACATGGCAAAGCTAACAAGCTGTTGAATGAATACGTCGCTTATCATACCAGGCATTGCTCGGAGTGTGAATTTCCTGTCCCATTCTTTATGAACGGCAGGTCGAGAGCGGACGAAATGGGAAAAGTTGTGAAGAACTACACGTGCGAAAGAGCATAAGCAGGTCACAAGACACTACAATTATGTTTGCTAACGACCATTTGAAATTACGCTAGGCACGAAAGTAGCAAACCCGAGTAAGAGGCCCGTTGTGGAACGTCCAGTACAGACTGGATCGGCAACTCAAGCCTTCTTCGGCACGCAGCGTCTTTACTCAGGAGACGCTGCTCAAACAAGCCTTGAATGGGGTACAACTCCTTGCCACACTCTTCGACGACCGTCAAGCGGCGGGGTCGTCTAGTGAGATGAGTTGCCCAAATATCAATACAACTCAGTGTACCTTGCGTCTCCGACAAGGCAGAGCATGTTGTTTGCTGTGTTGGCTGTGGTAGCCTCACCGTTGTCTCGTTGCCGTCGCGCATGTCCATTCGCAGTGTCTAAGCGCAAGGCCCAGACTCATACAAACGACCTTGACGCCCTCATGATTGTCGGCCAGGGCGAGGCTGCGCGCGTGCCCTACGACGGAATGCTAGCTGGCTCCGAATCGCGCAGAGAGGTAGATGCCGATGACGCATATGACGCCCCTCTTATTGGCGCAGAGCAGGGCGCGCATTGCTATCCTCATCAGCTTGATCGGGCGTTCCATGTTGATTCGCATCGTCGCTTAGGATTCTTGGCTGTGGTCCTGCCCACACTCTTCCTAGAAGTGCCTCCATGCCGGCTCGAACACATCTGCTACTGAAGTTTAGACGCCCGGCACGTCGCCTCATGTGTCCAAAGACATGCGACTAACTGTCTGAACGAGCCCCAGTCCTTCGCGTTGCACTCACTGAGCAAAACGTCGCTGTCGTCGCCGAACGTGATGGACACAAACACGTGGCCCTCCTGAGTTGGCGTTGTGTCGCCTATAAGAAATCTCGGCCTTTTCATGTGGCACGCTTTCAAGAAAGCCAAGCAAATATCGCTTCCGCCGCCAGTGACGATGACGATCGTATTTGACGGGAAAGTCGCTAACGGGTCCGTCTCTTGGTGTCATCTACAAGGGGCAACTCAGGAGGACAGCGGCAATCTTTTTACTTTTCGATGGTTTATCCCTATTACTTTCTCTTCCCTGCTTCTTAACGCAGTAATGTATTGTTAATTCGATTGTACGGGCGGGCCTTCTCTTCAGATATTTCGCAGCCAACTTTATAATAGCGTGGTGAGCATTTGTGCGGCTCAAGGGCTTACGTCTTGTAGCCTGTTCTGGTGAAAATTGCTTGGTTAGGAGCGGCTTCGCAGATCAGCTGCTGGCTACACTTTTTGTCGGGGACCATACTTCTTTTTCTAGAACTGAATTTAAAATGGTTGCACCATCGCTGCTTGCAGCTCTGTGATATTGGTTTTTATATTTCTCGACTACTGAGTTAGCGAATATACGAATGGTTTGGCCTCGAAAGCCAGCACTCTTTAATTTTTCTCGTTTCTTATTTTTTTTTAATAAAAGGGGTGTTCAAGTGAGTATCGTAGGTTCCTGACTGTGGCGCAGCACGCACGATACGTTCTTGCGCATGTGCGTATCTTATTGCGAAATAGCCATTGGATCTTTTCAAAGGGGGGGGAGAGGGGAATTGTTGTACATGTTGCTTCCTTGATAAACAAATGCTCATTGCTCTGTCCAAGATCTTTTTGAACCCTCGAAAAGACACCTTTCCTGACCAAGCGGTGAAGAGCCCAAGTTAGGCTTACTTGGCGACTGGCCGTATTCCACGACAAGACACAAAACATATTGACGTGTAATGTATCGTGGAAAATCGGTGGAAATTGCACACAAATGCGTTCGATTTAATTTTGTTCTTTAAAAAAAGATCAATTGGGCAAACGAGCAGCTTATGTGCCTCTAACCTTCCTGTACGAACTAGGCTTCCATCTCCTGCCAATAAACTTGCCCGCATAGACGGGCACTAAGGCAATAGCCAAGGTCAAGGCCAGGCGCCACATAAAGCCACCAGACACAACAAAACTCAGATCGATATAGTCACCAAGAAAAGGGATGCTTCCAAAGAATGTCAGGGCAGTGCCGACGATGCTTACAATCATGACAGGATGCCATGTTGTGATCTCCACTGCCACCATGCAAAGCTCGTTGATCACAAGAACGGTGTAAGAGACAGTCACCATTCTTTTAAAAATCTTGTCGTCTTCCTCATCTACGGGCGACTCGGTCGTGGTGGCGCTTCGGCCCACGCCCACAAGCAGCTGCGAGAGGCCCTGGATGACGCACCCCTGATAAATGGATATGGCGACCCAGGCGAAGAAGGTTTTGTATGAAAGAGAACGGCCGGTCTTGAGTTCTTTGTACAGCTCGGGATACAGTGCTGCCAGAGATTCAGAGACGTCTCTGTCAAGGACAAGCGAGAAGACAGGAAAGAGCGTGTAGATTGTTGCGTAACCAACCAGCAGCCAGTCCTGCGAGAGCGCGTTTACGTGAGCATTTGGGAATGTGGTTTGCGTGAAAAGCGAAGTGAAAACTTACACGATACAAAGCATTTGGCTCGAATTGGCTGGCTATGCTGAACACGGTTTGGCACACACTGATAATCAGACCACGATGTATGACGAATTGCGCGAGCTTGGCTGATCGCTTGTAGCTGTTTCTCCCATGCCATACTAGCAGCTTGGTCAAATAGTGGAACTGATGAATGGAGAAATCTGCAGCCAAAGAAGCCTGCCGTCCCTCCTTCCCAACGATGCCCACGCCGACATCCGCAGCTTGGATCATAGACACATCGTTTCCGCCATCCCCAATGCAGGCAACACGCTTCTTCGTGTGCGCCCTGATCAGCTTGGCGATGTCTGCCTTCTGGGTGGGCGAGCAGCGGCACGCTACTACGGCGGGAAGCTGAACGGCGATGGATACGAAGTCGTTACGGAGATAGGTGAGCATGATGTTAAGCGACTCGCCATCGATGAGTAGGCAGGCGTCAGGCTTGCTGCGCAGCGCAGTGAGCTCATCGTACGCGAGATCCTTGCGATTCAATTTGGTGATGGTGTGGATGTACTGGCCTCGTGCAACGAGTTTAGAGCTGATAGCGACGCACCGCGCAGTCTCGACCTTGTCGCCAGTTAGCATCCATATTTTGATGCCGGCGTTGCGGAGACGCTCGAGAGACGGCTTGACATCTTGCTGTAATTTGTCCTCAACACCGGTCACGCCAAGCAGCTCAAGGTTTCGCTCCAGATGATTTCTGATTACGTCGGACATGGCGCTATCGCGTCCTTGCAAGGCCATCGCCGCCTGCGAAAATTGGAGCGAGAAGTCTTGATATTGAGATGCAGATAACTTTTTGCGTCCGACGACGAGAGTTCTCAGGCCCTCTCGCGCCATATTCACTGTCTCTTCATCGAGCCAATCGTTCGCAGAGACAATGGACGTCATGACGGTGTCAGCGCCCTTCTGGTAAAACCAGATTTCACTGTCCATGCACGTCTCGGGGACCGCGCTGGCCGCGCTACTCAAAAACTGCACAATTATGCCCATACGCTTGCTCTCGGACGTAAATGGGAAGGTGTTGAGGATGCGAACCCGTACCACGGCTTTGGCGCTCTTATGAGACTCGAGCACCATCCCGTTTCGGTCGCGGTGCACAAGTCGTAGGCCGACATTCTCTGTCCAGCGCACTATGGCGATCTCGTCTGGCGATGACGCTTGGTACGATGTTCTAACTTGACCACCCACTTCTTCTTTTGTCGGAGTGACGTTGTGACAAAGAGCTAGTGCCATGACAAGATCCCTGACCCGCGACCCAATTTCACGTCGCGTCCTCGTAGTTGATGTGGCGGGGACATTGAATGGGGTCGATGGTGTGACCAGAACACCTTCTTCCGCAGGCGCGAACGCCTGACTGACATACGACGTGATCTCGTCCATTGCATCGTTAGCATATGAGACGGTGCCAACGTGCACTTTCTTCAGCTCCATCTCATTTTGCGTTAGCGTTCCGGTTTTATCGCTGAGCAGGTACTCGATGCGACCTAGATCCTCCGGAATCGTGCTTGTCCTGACAATAGTGCCGGGAATGCCCTTGTCGTGTTCGATGAACCAAGCGTAGACCGTCTTTCCCATGTCGAGGTTGACGCGGAGACTAATGGGAACGACCGTGGAGAAAAGGATGAGGAACCGCATTACAGATATGTACCACTTTCTTTCCTCCTGCCCCTCAATCCGGCCGATGAGCACAAGCACGCCAGATAGAGTGAGCGTGAGGGCGCACAGGATTTTGGTTAGAGTGTTGAGCTCCAGGTCCAGGAGACCGGTCTTGGACCTTGATGCCGAAGTGGACAAAGCTTGTCTCGTCTGCGACCCAGTATAGACCACGACAGCATATATGGTTGAGCTGGAGGCCAGAACGGTGTTTGCCCAAGCGGTGTTGTCTAGGCTCAAGGCTGCACGTTGCGGCATGCGTTGTCCTTCGGAAGGTTCGAAGCCAACGTCTTCGTCATCTAACTCCAGCATTCCAACGAACTCGTTGACCTTCTTGTCTGGCTTCGCGGCCGTGACCTTGAGATTGATCAGCTTAGATAATTGAAGATGTTGGGAGAGCGGAGACGGTAGGCGCAGCTTCCAGTCAGTCTCGCCGTCCAGCTGATCAGTTCGAATAAAAGTTTCCCCAGCGTAGTCCTTGCGAGTTCGTTCTTCGTCACCTAGGGGGCTCATGGCGGCGACTCTTTGTCCTTCCATGTGAATCAGCTGTTCTTGCTGCTCTGACGCTCCGGCGAGCTCTTGAGCATCAATACTTCCACTCTGGTCCGTAGAGATGCCTTGTAGAATGACCACATCCGCTGGTACACGTTGATTTTTGCTCAATTTGAGCACGTCTCCTACCTTCAGGTCCTTCGATGCCTTAATGCTGTATTGAAGATCCACCTGCTCATTCCTAGCCTCTAACCCATTTGCGGTTGTTTTGCTCTTCCTCTTGCTTTTGTCTAGACTTTGACGGCTTTGAAATTGCACCACGGTGTAAGGCTCAGCGTTGGCTTCAGCATCCCGCTTCCGTCGCGCAATGTCATCAATTGCCTCTTTCCCGAGCGTCACAATCAAAACGAAAACAAGCGGGGCAATGTATGTGCTCAAATAGCCGATCCGTAGCGCCGGAATCACCTGGGACAATGCGACAAGCAGGAAGTACAAGTTGAGAAAGAACTTGAATTCGTTGTACAGCGTACGGGGAACAAAAGACCAGGGAGTGTATTTTGCGTTGGAGACGGCGTTAAGTGGGTATCGGGTCGGCTGCCGTTGCCCGACGAGGACGATGCGATTCGAGGACGGGTCGTGCTCATCTTCCGGTTCATCGTCCGTAAGGGCTTCTCCCAGCGGCAAGCCCGAGGGCGAATTGAAGCTAAGAGCCCTCCAAGTAGAGCATATCCTGGCAAGGGTCGATCCAGACGGCTTCCTTTGCCGCCGCGACGTATGAGCATCAAGAAGCAGAGGTGCACTGTCAAATGCACTGTCGTCGCTGGCTGCAGAGTCGCGATTGTGTTTGTGGTGCTCTGACCCATCCTCCGGCGGTTCTCCGACTTCATTGTCGTCGTGGACCCGGATCCTGTGCTGCTGCCTACCAGGTCTCAGGTTGCGCAGTGGTATACGCTTCCCAAAGTCGCTCATATTGTAGCTGCGACTTCGTGAGTGTTCATTGGATGAAGGACCCGCGAGATGCCAGTCAGCCTGGGGATCCAGCTCGTGCAGATTTATATTGAGGTCGCTCTCGCTATCACTATCGGGAAAGTCAGGCGCATTAACCTGGTCATACTGATGAGACGCAGACATGGTGCATCAGTTACGACGCCGGAGTGGATGATAGGGCTAGGTGTGCGGCGCTAGGCAGCGCTGTTGTTAGCTAATTCATGGGTGATATTCGAATTAGGCAGAAAGCTAGAGCTGGATAGAGTGAAAGGGTATGAACGACAGCATCTCGTATATGTGTGTCCAGCTCTTTTTGTCTGCATAATATGCTTACCGCAAGGTCTAATGCAAGCAAGGCTGGAGGGCTAGCTGAAGACGAGCATGGTATTTTGAAGACTAGAATATTGATAAATCCAAGTCAGAAGTCTTTGTCTTGATGTTAGCTGTTTTGTGTCGTAATTCTAAAGTCAAGCTGTCTCTCAAGTCTGTCGCATCTGGTCTGGCAACGCGAGTACTTAATCCGCAGATGAGGCCACGCAACGTTGGCATGTCCGTTTCTGGTTCTGGTCCGAATGCCCAACTCGTTAGCTTCGCGTGCACAACGTTGCGCCATCACGACTCAGCGCAGAATTTGATAAGAAATTTGACAACACTTAAGATTGACCTGCTGGAGTTTGATGAACTTAAGTACAGACCTCGATTTACACTCGCATATTCACGCCGCCCTTCATACTTATTATAGCTACAGATTAACGCATTTACCTACGTGCGAACAAAGTAAACGTTTCGAGATTCTCCATAGCATGGACAGCATCTTCCTGCACTAATACCGATACAACATCCCCTAGCATACTTGTACGTGGCCTGGGCCCTCTTCATCTCAAATGCACCTGACACATACTCTCCATGCAGACGCCTAGCGTCATCTCGATCGTTGCTGACAGCTCACACTGCAAGCATCACTGTCCCGCCTTGAAGACGTACTTGATCGCTGCAATGACAAGTGAAGATGATACACTGAACTTCTCCTACGCCTTTGGCGACGCGCCGTCGTGGAATCCTGCCCTTCGCCCAGATCTCGAAAGCCCCCAAAAATCCGCCATCGATTACCCCCAGGTCGACCATCCAGTGGATGCACACGAGAAAGAAGATGATGAGCTTGTAAACGCAGGTCCGACTCAGGGGATGCACTCACTGCCATCTCAAGCTCAACTTAAGGGCGACCCCTCCCCATCTTATGACGACTTTAACCAGCACGGCCAGATGGAACCGTCGCCAGTGGAGCCCATTCAAGCCAATGCAGCGGCAGAGGAAACACATAACACCGGGAGTGCTGACTCCACAGAAGTTGCCGATGGATCTTGGGATGATGCTACAGCTGACACTCTCATTAATGGTATCAGGCTGGAGCCTATCCATGCCATTGCCGGCAAGCATGCTCCCAAATCTGAGCACGAAATTGCGGATCAGCCTGCTACATTGCAGCAACACACGTATGAGCTTAAGAACGACCCATCCGGCATCATGGAGGCTTTGCCAGACAGTTCAAAGGAAAATGTGATGGCGGAAGAGACTTTGACAGAAGAGGTTTGGGGCGGGTCGGAGGAGTGGCAGATCGAAACGCAGAGGGATTTGCAACCTATCGGACCATCTGCAATCGAGCACACGTTCAATTTCGATGCCGAAGACATTCAGATCACACAACTCGAAGCCAAGGGGCGGAAGCAGCAGGCAGCCTCTGCGGACGTATTCTGCACCCAAGAGAATACTTTACCCTTGCGAGAAGCATACTCTTCCGCCAGTATCGGCCATGCTGTGGCGGTGGCGGCCAATTCACGGCAGGATGGGCTCAAGGCTGAGTTTGAGACAACCACGGTTCCACATACTACGAAAGAATCCAGCGAAGACGAGTGTGTTGTGACCGGTGACGAAGCAAAAGCTTTTGACCTCGAAACTAAAGAAAAGCTCATCACAGATATGCCATCAGTGACAGCAAAATCAGAGGCTAAGGCCATGACAGATGATGACGTCGCCGATCCCTGGGCAGACGTGGCTGAGGACAACGATTTTTTAATAGAAGATCCCGTGGCTGCTTTCAACTTTGATGTCAATGATGGCGAGAGTTTTCTTGACGATGGTGTCACAGAACGCGCACCCATAGCTCCTATAAAGAATCGCCATGTGCGAGCCTCTTCTGTGTCGAAATACACGCCTGCCAACGTTCCTCAGTCCGGCCTACCGCCTCCATCAAGGACCACGTCCTATCGTCCAGATGCTCCAAGTCTTGTCGATTTGTCAAAATCACAGCAAGAGTCCGTTTCAATTCCTCGTGTTTCAACGTCGTCGCCATACACATCAGCTTACCAGGGGCCAAGAACACAAGGGCCACCAGTAGCTGCGGCTGAGAGTTTTGCAGACAAGGCAAAGGGTGGCTATCATTCACCTTATGATCTTCCAGATGACTTGACCATAAGACGCAAACGCCCTGTTGTTCACCACACACAATCCTCTACGCAACCGGTCCTACACAATGCTCCTCCTACGAAGCTAAGCGGAATGCTGAGTATGCCGTTCAGAGGACCGCCAAAACAGCACTCGGCAATGGGCCCGTCATTGTACACTGACTCTCCCATTCCAGCGCGGGGCCAGTTCAGAGCGGCGTCTGCAGCTCAGCCCACCAGATCTGTGAGCCACAATGAAGATTTTTCCGCCGATCTACAAGTAGCCCAACGAGCACTACCCCAGGTTACTCCATCCAAGGCATACAGCCAACTGCCCGGGGTCCAAATGGTCCCGCCGCTATTAGGCCCGCCTGCGACTTTTAGAGCTTCGCCAGCCTCGTATTCACCCCTACAGTCATCGTTAGAACGGCCGTTGCCAGTCGACCAGTTTACACATGGCCAGTTGCAACCGGCGGAAAAGATTCCACTTTATACCGAAAATTCCCAGCCACTACCACGAGCAACGACTGTGGCCCCTCCAGCTAGCTCTAGATATTCTCCGGCAGCTCCTCCTGTCTCAAAGTCAAGCTATTATCCGGCGGCGCCGCCAACCCCCGCTGGCGCCTGCGGATCTCACTACTCGCCTGCTTCTGGAGGGAGGCACGATCTAAACGCGACGCCTCGTGAATCAAGTGACGCCCCTCTCGTTCTGCCTCGAGCGCAGGCTCCGTTTTATGCCCCGCGCAATTCAAGTCCTCTTGCGTATCACTCGCGACCATTGCAAGACCAATTCATTGTTGCATCACCACAGAGCGATGCACAGTCATCTGCAGCAGGCAAGTCTAATTTGAGCAGAATGGGAAGCATCGTATCAATGTCAGCGCTCGAGACAGTGGACGAGAACGTAGAACCAACTCGAAGTACTCGAAATCAACCTGACGCCTCACGGCACACACCTCGGCCGAGCAGCCACAACAGCACCCCGCCGCCGAGAAGTCAATCATCTTCCATTCTCAGCTCACCCAGGAAACGAGCACAATATATACCGGCTAACTATCAGCCACTGACGGTATCATCGGATCAGCCAATTATGCAACCAAAGCGGCCTCAGACGTCGTCCCCAACTGCCCCCATGAAATTATCGAATCTTCGAGGTGTAAATCTGGATCGCCCGGCTTTCTCTACGCCCTCAGGGAGCTTGATACATGCCTCGCTTGCCAATCCACTCAATCGCATGCAGTCTTCGCTAGGAGGTCCATCATACCACGAGATGAACAACCTGATGCAGCCTAGTGACGACTGTGCACATGATCCGCTCCAAAGGTGGAAGGGTGCCCCAATATTTCACTGGGGCAATGGAAATTCGATTGTATCTACTTTCCCCAGATATGCACCAATGTATGATACTGGATCCTCGGGGCTGGTGGTGAAGCCTACACCCGGCGAGATCAAAATCGGCATCGTCAACACCGTTTGTCCGCAGTCTGATATTTTCTTGAAATTTCCCGGTCCGTTGAAGAAGGGGAAGAAGAAGGAACTTGTCGCTTGGCTTAAAGCTAGTATAAACCAAATTGAGGCCGAGCACAAGATGGCGAGCATGAACGGCGAGCTTACGACGGCTATGCACAAGCGAAGTGAAGAGCGCATTTTACTGTGGCGCATCATGAATTTGCTTGTCGAGCATGATGGTACCTTGGAGGGAACCCCGGCCGTGGAGGCTGCTGTCCGAGCCCTCCTTACTCCGTCTCTTCATGATACTGTTCCAGCAGCCGATGACTTGGATGCTTGTCGTACAAATATGCAACCGGAGGCATTCGATCCCCAGGCTGTCAAGACGATGCGGTTACATCTTTATGCCGGCGAGCGTGAGAAAGCTGTCTGGCATGCCGTGGACCAGCGGCTTTGGGCGCATGCCCTACTCATTGCGTCGACACTAAACGAGAAGGAAATATGGAAACAGGTAGTGCAAGAGTTTGTCCGCAAGGAAGTCCGCAGGATCGGCAAAAACACGGAGGCTCTGGCTGCGCTATACCAAGTATTTGCCGGAAACTGGGAGGAGAGCATAGACGAGCTTGTCTCCGTGTCGGCGCGCTCTGGCTTCCAGATGGTCAGCACTACTAGCGGTAGTTCTCATCAAAAGGATGTATTGGCTGGTCTAGACAAGTGGCGTGAAACACTGCTACTTGTATTGAACAATCGGAGTACAGGAGACGCTGCAGCCCTGACTTCCCTTGGCAACTTGCTGAATGGTTATGGAAGGATTGAGGCTGGGCACATTTGCTATCTTTTTGCCCGAGCAAACGCTAGGTTTGGCGGTGCTGATGACCAGCATTCTCACTTCAGCCTGATTGGAGGTCATGCCTTTCAACAGGGCTCGGACTTCGGTCATAGTCTCGATACAATCCTCCTCAGCGAGACATACGAGTTTGCGATGATGTCGAACAGCGCTCCGACGCTGCCAATGCCTCATTTGCAACCTTACAAACTGTATCACGCCGAAGTGCTTGCTGAAGCTGGCAAGAGAATGGAGGCACAGCAATACTGTGATACAATCATGAACATTGTTACGACCAAAGCAAACCGATCTGCCTACTACAATCCGCAATTCATGCGTTGGCTGGACGATTTTGCCAGAAGATTGTCCCAAGCACCAGCGGGTAAAAGCGAGTCGTCGTGGAAACCTAGCATTGACAAGGTCTCGAGCTCGATCTGGGGCAAGTTCAATGACTTTATTGCCGGGGATTCAGACACGTCAGAGAGCACAAATCTGGCTTGTGGTATTCCAGACAGCTTTACACCCATACCAATGCAGATTCCTTCCCAGATGCCGCTGAATGGCAGGAGCATCTCGGGCTCGAATGTGTATAGTAGTCACCAGCCAAATGAATATGCCAACTGGAACCCTGCAATCAACCCGAGTTTTCGATACGCACCAGGCAACAACACATTTACTCCAAGGTCGTCATCGGAGCAGCAAAGGCTGAAAAACACACCGCAATCGCAGTCGGCGTACGAGTTAAAAGCGTCCATGGATTCAAGCAAGGGCTCATACGAGCCACACTCTTCCACCGAGTTTCAAATGTTCTCACCTTTGCGTACTGGTGCATTCAGTAGCTCCAACTTTGCTGGTTCTCAGCATACGCCACTAGGTCAGCAAAACATTCATACCCCTGGCACCAGTGCATCGGAAGGCTTGAGTATGCAAGCAGGCTCACCATATGTGTCTTTTCCACAGCAACAATCCTTGCCTGAAACCTGCACGCAATCCCCTTCCTATTTGCCAACTCTGCCAATTGAGCAGCAACACTTCATGAACGGATTTGGTGCAGATCCGACTGAGGAACCGGCTGCTACTTCGGATGAACAGACTCAGCACTCATTCCAGCCGGAAGGCTCGAGCTATGGTTACCAACCACCAAGTTCCACATACGAGCCAAATGAGCCGGATGATGGTCCTGGGGCAGATCAGGAAGAGCAGGATACCAAGCCGAAAAAGAACTATTTTATGGACGACGACGATGATGATATCATGGTACGCGCCGCGGCTCTTAAGAGCCAAAAGTCCGAGGCTGACCGGCAGGCTGACGAAGCGTTCCGGAAGGCTGCAGAGGACGATGGTAAGTTTTATATCTCCACCGCCAATGCAATTGCCCCTCAATGCTCTAACTCGGCTGCTGTAGCTGCCAAAGTCGCTGCTGAAAAGCGTAGCTCTGGCTCCCGAGGATTCTGGTTTGGTGGCTGGTTCAGTAGAAAGCAAGACTCAAATGCACCTGTGGTCTACAAAGCTAAGTTGGGCGAGGAGTCGTCCTTTTATTTTGACAAGCAACTCGGCCGCTGGGTTAACAAGAAGGCGGGCACTGATGTCTCAACATCTATGGCTGCAACTCCCCCCCCCCCTAAAGTAGCGGGTCCGCCCTCTCGACCCGCGAGCAGCATGATGGCCTCTCGACCCGCACAAACACCTGCCAAGTCTGCTTCACCCGTTGGTATGGTTAGCGGACCACCGTCGTTTGAAGGTGCACAGCCTCAGCCATCAGCGAGTGTTCAACCACCGCAAGCCGGGCCGGTTGCCGCCTTGGTAGGAGGTCCGCCGTCGCGACCATCAAGCAGACCAAGCACAAGCTTAAGTAACGCAAGTGATATCGATGATTTACTCGGGCCAGCAGCGCCAAGAAAAGCTGGCGCGAAGAAGGCTGGCGCGAGAAAGGGACGCTACGTCGATGTCATGGCGGACAAGTCGTAAGCTACATTCATTATCTGCGTTGTTTTCTATGTTTCTTTAAAAGGCCTGTACTCATGTTTCATTTCACGTGTCCCCCTTACATACTCTTATTTTTAATCAGGAAACGCAACGTGGCGATCTAGCTTCATAGCCTTGCCTCGGATTTAATTTTTAGATTCACGGTGCTTGTGCTATTAGAGAGACGATATATCTACTCTTTGGATGTTATATTTGTGGAATATATTACTTCGTATACTTGCTCTCGAATTGCAATTTTTGTTCTTGATGCTGCTAGTCATTCTCGTGAATGACTGCTCGCTGGAGAATTTTTCTTCATCACGCTCGTCATTTTGGAGTACGCAATCTGCGGCGCCTTGTGCTGCTGGCCGCGGAACACAAGCGGCTACCGGGACATTCGTAAGTTAGTTTATGTGTTCCTCGTTCTAGGATGTTGGAAGACTCGAGAAAGCAACATGGATGCCGAAACCAGCTATAGAACCACAAGAACACGAAGTGCATTTCGAGTCACGAGCGAGACTTAAGTTGAACGATTATGCGCTTTCTCATAAACACAGCAAGTTTAGTTGAAAATGGTGCTCCTTGCTCTGACCTAGGAATGATATGTGGTCGCGACCGAGACTAATAGTGTCTATGTGCGAAGCAAGCAAGCGAACCGATCTTGGTGATCAAACAGCTCATTCAATTTATGGAGACGGACATGCATCCGTGCGCAAAAGTATGTCCTCATCTCCGCAAAGTGCACCAGTCATATCATTCACAATGGTACGTGGCTACCCAAGATAGTTGACGGCTAGTCGCACCCCATACGTATATTCCAAACTTTTTACTCTTCGATAAAAATGTCACCCTCATACGATCAACTGAAAGAAGATCCTATTAAATTAGCTAACCAGGCTTCAAAGAAAGGTGAAATAAAAATCGTGTGAACCATAGCTCAATTGTATCATATCCCTTGATCATCCCTCTGAACACACTAATATCGTATACCTTCTCGGTGCGATTCTAATTTTACAACTTGAAAATTGACTTCTTTTGAGGAAGAGCTCTTTTTCTTCAGTATATGATTAACATTGATGACCAAAGGCTTTCACCAAAATAGCTGTCATGTAAGAAATTGTGAACATCATTCTCGCAACTTATAATGTATCTCCCCCAGTAATAGTCAAGAATTAATAGCTAACTTTATCAATCGGCTTAAGTCACTTCTTGTATAGTAAAATTAAAACCACTATTATTAGAGCGCACAATGTAGAAATCCAATCTTCATCTAAGGCTAGTTCAAGCTTGTATAAAACCTAATGGTGAAGTACGACGTACTTACGACGGATATTGTGCTGGGTGAATTACGTGGTTCAAGATGAGTCGTGGGTGAGTGCCCGTGCCATGTGCTGGAAAAGATCTGTGAGGGATTGTCAGGGTGTGTAAGAGGACCCTCACACCAGGCACAGGGGCCAGAGAGCCGAGGTACAGTGCCGACGCTAGTGCGGCGCCACCCCCTAAGACATGTACTTGTACAAGTACAAGGGGCGATCATGAACGGAGTTCACCCCCTGCAAACTAAGCCGCCAGGCTAGGCACTTTCTGGGAATAATTACAGCATCTCTAGTAATTTATTTAGAAACTAGTTACATTCCCCTCACCACTTGGTATGACCACCTGCTGCTGCAATCACTGTGGTACTGGTATATCTGGCTATATCGAATGCACTGATCTTATGCCATTCTTCCTGTATGTACTGGCGTACCTGATCCTCAGTATGAGGGAATCGATAAGAGACTCTGTACTTAAGCAGCCTCCAAATGTTTTCTATAGGGTTTAGGTCAGGAGAGTTTGCAGGCCATCTCATTATTAGAAGGCCTAAGCCACCTAATTGGGCGTGCAAGGCCTGGGTGGCCTTAGAAGTGTGAATTGATGCACCATCTTCCATCAGGATAGGCGGGCATCCACGCCCCAGGTAGGCACGACGGTGTGCTTTGAACTGGTGGATAAGAGGTACTATATGATCTCTATAGACATCACCACTGACCTTGCCCCAGGCCTTATCAAAAACCCGCATAGGGCCTCGTTGGCTACCTGCAATTGCACCCCAGATCATACAGGCTGAGTACCCTCGAAACTTAGGTACGCAGCAAGATGGATCATACTTTTCTTCTACTCGCCGAGTAATATATATGGTGCCTACGTCATAGCCGCACTTAATAGAGCACTCATCAGTCCATATAACCCTCGCCCATTGCTCATCAGTCCAGGTAAGGTGGTGATAGGCCCAGGCCAAGCGATCCTGCATATGCTTCGATGTCAGAAACGGCTTCTCAGTGCCTACCCGACGGTGGTACTGCTCTTTTTCGAACGCTGCAGTTAAGGTACGCCTGCAAGCACTTATGCCTTCGATCTTGGCGACCTCCTCGTACTTAAGCCGCCTATGATAGCCGTCAAGGGTTGCTCGTTCGATAAGACGATGGCGGATAGGTGTGGTGAGCATAGGTGGCCTACCTTGAGGCCTCTCTGGCGTTGATACAGTGGCGATCACCTTACGTACAGTTGATCGGCTTATCTTAAGGGTATTCGAAATCTCCGTATAAGACCAGTTGTTGAAGTTATGCAAGGTAATAATCTCAATCCGTTGATGATAGATGAGGCGTTATCGTTCACCGCCTTCCGTTTTAGGCCGATCTCTGATCCTCTTAAGGTTCGGCATAATGCTTAGGCAGGTAGATTAAGTAAGATAATAAGAAAATGATAACTTAGAGGCAAGAAAATAATAGATGGTGGTAAGGTGGTGATGGTTTCAGGATAGCAAGAATTTGGAGAACGCTAGGAAATTTGTATGGTATCCCCTCAATCCGGCTAGCCTGGTGGCTTAGTTTGCAGGGGGGGCACTCCGTTCATGATCCCCCCTTGTAAATACCCCGTAGCTAGAGGATACTTCTATCCTCAGCGGTTACTACCATAATCAACAAGATCCCTTGCTGCTCCTCCTGTGCCCCCGCATCTAGTCTTCATCGCCTTTACAGGGTGGTTCCCAATGATTGCGCGTCTCTATTCGTCCTCGGCCCTAAAAGCCTACTCCATAAGATGATTAGCTTTAGTAGCTAAACTCATGATCATCACAAGGTTTCTCTATCCCTTGCCCTTTCAACAACCAGTTTCCATCATTCTTATGCATCTTGTAGTGCCTTAAACTATACATCACCATGTATGAAAAAATCGACTGCGCACGGGCCACAACACCAAAACGGACATCAAAACAACGCGGTCCTCGAGGGCATATGTAGGTTACCACCATCCACCATGGCACCTAGGACACCTCAAAAAGAGCATGGACGTCGTGAGTGGAATACCCTACATCGTGTACGCTTTTTGGAAGCGTATGATCATAAATTGCCTAGTACTTCATTCAATTCTTTGTGCAAACAATCGGGTATCAACATCCCACCATCTGCTGGTCGTTTATGGCTTCGACAACGTGAAATACAAGGATCACCTGCATTGAGGAGGACGCGAAAGCAGTCTTCTCGCCTTGAACGAAATCGAAAAATTTGTGCATCAGATTTAGATAGGTTAATTGATCCAAATGACCCTCTACACGAGGCACCTCCAGAGACTCAAATCAAAGGACTTAACCTTGATTGCACAACGCGTACCTTACGATCAAATCTTCATGATAGGCGGGATGCTGGGCGATTTAAAAAGAAACTTATGACCCTATTATCTGATAAGAATAAAAATCTTCGCTATCAGTATGGACGAGATCATCAGAATAAGACAGTTCGTGATTGGTGGCAATATGTGTATTTCACTGATGGAGTACACTTCAACTCCATTGATCTTGCATATAAAATACAGTACGAGACTCGACAACGAGTATCTGATCAAATAAACGCTTACAGCCTATTCAGAAGGCTCCTCTCAATGTCACTGTTTATATTGCTGCTAGAGTATTATATAACCACAAAGGAGCATTCATATTCTATAATGATCCTCAAGAACCAACAGCAAAGGTTTATAAACCCCCACGGCCTCGTAAATCCTCAGTTGAAACAAAGCAACAGCATATAGAGGCAGTAGCCAATTGGCTTGAGGGGGGTGAGCATCCGCTGAAGATTCAAGCACAAGGCAATTCAATGACCCAAAAGTATTATGCTGAGGCTATTCTACCACATCATCTAAATCATCTTATGTGGCTTGAGCAACAGCATAAGCATCAATTCATCTTTCAGGAGGATGGTGATCTATCGCATGGTTACCGCAGCCCAAACAGTGCACCTATGAAGCTAAAAAGTGATTCACAAATCCAGATACTGTAACATCCTGCACAACCACCTGATCTCAATCCTATAGAGGCTATTTGGATGATTATGAAGAAGCGCCTACGTGGTGGTTATTGGCGTACAGTAGCTGAGTTCAAGAAAGCAATTGAGCGTGAATGGCGCAGGATTACGCGCTCACAAATTAGGAGGCGTATCAGCGAGATGCCTGAACGATGCAAGCATATGTATAATACAAAAGGAGAGCGATTCAGAAGCCAAATGTGGTAGTATAGCTAAGATATGTGTGAAATACATGATCCATCTTTGGTGTCGTGGCCCGTGCGCAGTCAATTTCTTCCTACATGGTGCATGACAGCTCATAGGCCCTAGCAGTGCTCGCAGGTAGGATCCTGCTATCCAAGTACTTTTTGCTGGTTAAGAAGTGCCGTAAGCCAATATTCTCGGCCCTTATTTATACCAGAGGCGCGTATTCTCTCTTATTCAGGTTTTTAAATCGCTTCAGAATATGCTTAGAGGGAGTTAGATTATCGCTATATGTTACCCGCCTTTTGCACTCCTATACCCATTTGGTTTGCCATATTCTAGTTACGCTTTTTGCTGTCAATTTTTTCATTGTCTTTAAACGTATAGATCTACTGGTTAATCTGCGGAATCGCCCCTGGGACAGTCTCTTTCTCTCCGTCTAGTAGCCTCCTTGGCAGCTCAGCCCGCTTCCTCGTTCCCATCAAACTCTTCATCTATCATGATCCATCTCACTTTCAACTTTGTGGCTCATTTCCTGAAGTTGTCTGAATTCTTGTACAATTTGTTTAGCTATTTTACGCACTTGAACCGCCTTCCGGCCTCGTCGGCGTGCGGGTTGCAACTGACTATCTGCGAAGATGGCTATTCTTCGCTTTTGATGGTGGTATGTGGATTACGTTATAGGTTGTTGCTGAGCAGTCTGGGTGCCATGTAAGTTGCAGGCATCTCAGCCTTGTCCGTGGTGATGTGTTGCGTTGTGCCGTTGTCCTCATATTCCGCCTTCTAAGTCATGCCATTTGTACCTTCGTCCTCCTGCTATGCCAAGCCCAGGTAGGAGTAAGATTCCACATTATTTTTGATGTGAAGAGACAAAGGTTGATAAGTTATGGGTGGACATGGGCAACGACTAGAGACACGACTTGCGAACCCTCAAGGTGGCGGTGATGGTGTCTTGTTATTGGAGATATTGAGCGTCTAGTGTGTTGTTCTATCCGAACTGCCAGAATCTGAGACACCAGCAGCTTTGAGTTCCTGCACACCTTTCATGTTCGGGAAACTCTTGGCTTTATCCCAGACACAACTAGCCAAGCCGACCATTATCTCTATCCTACAAATTTTCATTAGAGATCGGAGAAGGATAAGACGTTGGACTGAATATATTATTTGACTGCCCTTTAGAAATACCTGTTGCAAAAAGCTACGCTAACTGTTGTAGAAGTGGCCCTATATGTGGGTACAGAGCCTATCAAGATTCTTGGGTCCTCTTGCAACAGAATCCAATGTATGGTACAAGTAGTAGCTTGCATAGCAACTAGGCTTATTTGGATGACTACTTTCCCTTCCCTTTACTGTAAGAAGCCCACTACTTTAGAGGGCCATATGAATGCTTTTCATCTTCCACCTCGAACTCCATTTCTACTTGGTCATTGTCGCACATTAATTCAATACAACGTGACTAGCAACATTCTTTTAGCATACGTGATATTCATTAATTTGACAGGTATTTGTCACTAGAAACCGAACAAATGGGCATCCAACGGTCTTCCACAATATTCCAGCGTCTTAAAAGGGTAATGGTTGGGTGATGATTCACGATTTCTCATCATAGACAAAAATATCATCTGCAGCTACAGAAAAAATTTTGACAGCATGCGTTCACAACATGATGTGATACCGCTGAGCTGAAATATCGAGAAGGTCCTGAGTCATCGCGTACACACAATCCGCTAGTACGAGAACCAACTCCGCATTTCCAATCATTGACGTAAGTATGACCGCTCATTCGACAAATCCTACTTTAGAAATGTATCAAATTGATGACATTGAGCTGTGTTGAAATCAAGCAGCTGTGAACAAAGAACATCAAATCTTCTTTGCATAGTAACGCTGCCAAGAATGTGAATAACATCACAACTTCATTACATGAACAGCACATACACTACCTTCAAAGCGCATCGCGACTGATATTCGAATCACGCCTAAGGAGCAACCGCAACTTGCTCTATGGGCTAGCCTGAGGATCCCCACGACTGCCTTGATACTCTTCTTGCATTCCCGCAACGCCAAAATAGCTGACCTATGAACTCAAGTGAATAAGCGCAATATCTCTAACCCTAACCCTAGCCGATATTGGGAGACTAGTGGCTACAACTATAACCTAAATACAATGGCGTTCGACAACACGTCATGACGAATTTGTGTTTTCACCGGGTCGGCTGCTGCGGCCGGTGGCAGTAGCAGTTGTTGGCTGTTCGTTGTTCCAGGTAAGATAAGTGTGGTCGCCAAGTTTCCTGAATACTTCAAATTAGCATTCAGCATTTCATGAAAGTATCACTGTACACGCTGCAATTCAATTTCTAGATACATTGAACGAAATAATGTCTTTCGGATTTTAATTGATTCGAATGCGAACGTACCTTGGCTTCACTATGTAAGTTACTGTGAAGAGAGCACCAAGGACAATGCAAAGCCCACCAACAACGAGATAAGCGATTCCAAGAAACGGGTTCTTGCCGCCCATCACAGTCCTGGTTGAGATAAGAACAGACTTGGTGCCACCGTAGAGCGTAGTGTTGAATTCTAGTGTTTAAATCAGCTCAGGTATGCAGGACAACTTAAACTATGTCCTCACCATCCCAAATATCTATTTGATAACGTCCCGCCGTCATAGTTTCATTATCCTGGCGAAGCGCCAACTTGCTAAATGTTGGCAGGCCTGCTGTGCGCATCCAAACGAAAAGCTCTTCCCACTGACTGATGTCAGGCGGTTGGATGCTGGAATTGTACGTTGGCCAGATCTTCCTCCAATTGGGAGGAGGAATTGCCTCATCGCTGGTGTACTGCGTCTTCTTGTACAAAGCCTCGTCCGAGCTCCAGGCAATGCCTTGATTCGTCATGTTGTATCTTTTCTGGTTACCACCGTCCTGAGGGTTCAAGAGTATTGGTGTTGTGAACGTGTCATTGAAAATGGAGTTAGCAATCAACCCGCATGGGTAAATTGGTTTGCCGTCTTGAACATCGAGAGGCGCGCAGTCGGTGCCACTAATAGAGCTTGCACTCTTGGCAGCGCCAGCAAGCTGTCCCGGATCGTAAGACTTGACATATCGACGATGATTCTGGTAGAAATTGGTCATGCGATAGTAGAGGAATACCGGAGGAGAGAGGTCACTCTCAATGTCGAACTGGATACGGCACACGTTTGTGTTCTGTATGGTAACGCCTCTGTAGACATTGTTGTCAGGATATTTTGCGTCAAATGTATAATGGGCCCACTGAGCAGGTTGAGCGGCCGAATTGCCGTTCTTAAACGTCTTCGAAATCCTCTCACTTGGTATGTCTTCGAGACCGTCGGTGACGTTTTCGTTGGCTATCCTTGGCGCTATCTCTATACAGTTGGAATAATCGATTGCGATCTCTTGCACCTGGACCTAACGTGAGCCCACGCTTTACTCACACCTGCTGTTGCAGAAGTTGCAAACCTCTGAGCTTGCCCACAGGAGTAGCCCGCCTATGGGAGCAAATATAATCCCGACAGCGAAGAAGAGCGGAAGTACCGTCTTAGGTGTAAGTATTGGTCTGAAAGACTCACTTGTAAGCTAGGAGGTAGTGCTGAAACTGCAGCTACCACTTACTGCCATGCCTTTAAGCGCTGCTGACGAAAGGCGGAATCTGCATTATCGTAGTCAGAGCTGATCAAAAGGAGCTTCCACGCACCGCACTCGGCAACAGTGGATCCAGCAAGACAGTACGGATGCTTCACATACTTGCTGGTCTTTTCGTCTTGTCCTTCCTCTTGCTGCCCTTTTGGTTAGGGTCCTGGCTGTCAATTGAATCGGTATGCTGGATCTGCTGCGTTTCCGTCTGCGACATTGCGACTGCCCCTGCTATTGTACAGCACGAGTTGGGGAAAGCAGAGAACAAAATGGATGTGGGCAAGACGGTGGGGATGTCCAAGTTGTGAAGACGTTGCGGCCAAGTTGAGCGTTCCATGCGACGATAAGTGGGAGCGAAGGCCCGGCACTGCCGACAACGAAAGAGGCATAGTTCTAGCCCTGATCGTGATAGTTCTAGCGTGGCGCAAGATGCCCTGCCACAGCGGAACGCTCAAGATCCTTCTTGGCGGAACTACTCGTATCCCTGCAAGGCTCATACGTCTTCTGAAGCAGAACGTCCAAACCGACACTCTGTGACAACACCGATGTGAGCCGCTCCTTTTAGGGTGATTTGCGCTTTCATCAGTAATGCTCCATTGGTTTGAACCAGGAGGCTGACTTGAATTCCTGCAAACCATTTAATCATGGCTTCCGCTGCGACGCAAGAAACGCAGGTTCAGGACCAACTAACACTATTCCTGCGAATGGATACCTACGACTGGGATGCTGACGAAGAATTCAAGAGCGGACTTTTGGCCATTCTCCACTCGGCTGCATCTCCAGAGCAAGCACTTGAGCTGACTTTACGAGCTCGCTGCTTTTTCTTCACAAGGTAGACTCGTAGTCTGCTTAAAACAAGACCAAAGTCTAACGAATTCAGAAAAACTGGTATAGCTGTCGACTATAACGCCTATTCGTCATGGAAGGCTCTACATGCGGCGATAAGCAGTTCCGCAATTGAAGCCTCAGCTTCGGATACGACCAACCCAGGACATGAGCCTGAATCCGGGCCCAAACTCTCTTATCAAGAAATAGTTGAATTGATCCAGAACGGAAAACCCATACCAGGGATTAAAGAGGTTCCAAAAACAGTTCTTATCGGTCAAGGAACGGTATCTACTAAGCCTGCCAGAAGAAAGCCATGGGAAAAAGATAGACGCGTTCTGGAGTCTGCAGCGCCCAATACCCCAGCTGAACAGCTATGATGGCAGAGCAGAGCAGGAATAGGGCTCTGGAATGCAAAAGGATGAATTATCACCTTCAGTGCAATTTGATTAACTGTCATACATAGCTTAAGAGCTTGATAGACGATCAACGATCCTATGCTTAACCCAAACCATATCGTATCAGACCCGGAGATATTACCCTGAGCTGTATCCAAAACAAATTCTGGGCATAATTGTCATCCTTTTGTCGCAATAGCAATATACATAAATCTTTTGATTCTGAAGAGGCTCCGTTAGGACTTGACTCAACACATTTTCTTTTGACTCTTGCGAATGCTTGATCGACAAAAGTCTTGTTGTTCGACCTACTATCGAGGCTGCACTGTGCATTCTGCCATTCACAAATATCCTAGCTGCACGGAATTTCTCCCTACTGGCGTGTCAATTCAAATGCTGTAATTGAATGGACCTGGCAATTAGGGTGTTCCACGATACGATACGTGAGGATATCTATGCTAGTGCTCCCGTGCCATGAACCGAACGCCAATTACCGTTATGGAATCAGTATCCGTGCTGCATTTATAAATCATATTGTTTCGTATCGTTAATTCCGTTTCGTGGTAGTAAATATGGCAGCCATTGTTTTGGCGTCTGTAGTACAAATTAGTAATATATATGTAAGGGGGTGTGTACATATCACGTCACCCAACTATACGAAATTAGGTAATTGAGCTAACTTGTTTCACATGCGAGAGCGACACCCAAGCTAGAGCAACACGTCGCGTATCCTTCCTTATATTAAACATTTGGCTCATGAGTTTTGTCCCCCCCTTGAGATTTGTCCCCCGCACTAGTTGTAATCAAAACTTATCGCAACAAATGGCTTAGCACAGAGAGCATGGTCACCACCAAGGATGAGCAAATGTATTCAAGCAAATTATTATGAATTATCTATTATTATCGCTACGGACGTCGCTGCCTTTTGCGTGGACTAAGTGATGACCATGTATCTGACGCCATAACTGCTGCAGCACGCTTAGAACGCGGCTGTACCGTGTCCTGAAGCCCCCAAAGAGAGTTTCGAGCCTGTACTTGCGCGGATCTTTCAGCATAGAAGGCTTCCTTGTCTCCAAAATGAAAGTTCCAAGCCATTGTCGGAGTACAGTCAGCATAAACTCCACTCGTAGCCAAGGCCATATGCCGTGCTTCAACTAATTCAGCCGGATCTCCTTCTTGCCCTGTCTCGGCCAAATGATTAGCAAACGCATGCATGTTATGCAAGCCATCTAGAACTGGTTAATGCCGCCGACTTTCGATGTCAGCCAAGAACTCCTCTAATGACGGAGGCTCCCAGGCAGATAGTGCAGGAGGAGATGGAGCTACAGTGATAGACACTGTAACAGAAACAGGTGAAGAGTGAACAGACATAATAGGTGAGGAAAGTGGAGTTGGTGATTCCCTTGTAGGGACTGGTATAGATACAGACGTCGACACAGCATTTGCAGTTGCAGTTGAAATTGGCGTGAATGAAGGCAATAATACAGTAGCAGATGTACTGGCGTGACGTAGGACGTCAGCAAGTGTCTGGCCCTCTAACTGATAAGGCGGTTGATATAGAGGAATAGAGCGTGGTACACGTCGTTCAAATGCCGATAAGTCTCGATGAGTTGATGACTCGTTCCTCCTCAGCGCACCCCTAGTAATAGCTGGAAGCGGCTCCAAGATAGACTGGTGCGGTCTTGTAGGCATGTGGATAGACTGTCCTTGTGCACGTTGATAGCGCCAATGATTATCATAAGGATATTGCACAGGCAATGACCCAATAGTTATTACAATCTGCAATATATGACGGCACGGAAGGCCGTGTATCCTCTCAAAGAGTCCTGAGCAAGGATGACCGCCGCTACGTTGTTTCTGGTCTTTCTGGCGCAGGAGATCTTGCTGTCTGATGAGCTCGATTGCAGGTAGCGTGATTATACAATGAATATCGGGCGGTAGGAATAGTATTACCTTATACTTATACTCGAACTTAATACTGTGTGTAGAGGAAGCGATCTCTTTCCTATACTTGCTGTATTAATTATCGATCATCTGCTGAATCCTGCCAACAACAGATAGCAGGTCGCCTGTAGAAGTGACCAGGTAGTCCTTCAAAACCTTATGCATGCCTTCGACAGGAGAAGTCGTGATTGTATTATAGTGTCTATGGTGAGATGTCCAAGCAGTCGCCCACTGGGTGCGTGTCTGGTATTGATTAGCATTCAGGTATTTGCAGAGTTCCTGTTGGTGCTTATAGTCCCTGAGCATAGCCTGCCACATCATTTCGAACTCGAATGGCCTCTTTGCAAAGATAATCTGCTCTAGTTAGCTTTGCGGATGCCACTGACGCGGCAGAGCATACCTTAGACCAGCGCCCCATGAAACTAGCGCGTTGTTCGGCAATTACTTTCTTCTCATCCGGTGTCGTACCATCGGCTTCTCTCCAGGTCTATTGAGCTTTCATCTGAATATTCTTGTTGATATGTCACACACAGAGGAGCTGTGGAACTCTTGGTAGTAAGCTTTAAGCTGCTTGCTTTAATGCCTCTTCCTGATCACTTATGAACACGCGTGGTTCTGATACTCCTGTCTTAGAGAGGAAGTTTGAGAGCGCCCAGTAGTAGTCGTCATATGCTTCATTACGGAGGAAGCAGAAGCCGGCAGAGAAGAAGGTCTGTAGGTTGGTACATCCGATGATATGTAGTAGCGGAAGTCTGTACTTGTTAGTTTGATAGGTGCAATCTATCAATAGGACGTCAGGACTCGCCAATAGTAACTCGATCTGCTTCCGATGAACAAAGAAGAGGCTTTGTACATGATTCTCGGAATCCCTCCTTATAGAAAAGATCCAATCCGGCGTCGATAGGTTGTCCAGCAATGTTTCTATCGGACTTCTTCCGTTTAGATGGTTCTTTCGGATTGCACTCCTCTCAGTACGGATATCAGTGGCAGAGACCAATGTATCCAGATCCTGTTGTTGAATGGCAACTAGTATCTGCATTGGTCGAACTCCAGCGCGTGTCATGGATTCGACCACTTCTTCCTGCGCTGGTGTACGTCTATGATAGACATTATGTGCCGTTGGATCAAGCAATGGGCCGTGATTGTGATGTTTGCCTTGGACCTCTAGCCTCCACTGATCGCTCTGCTTTTCTTTAAAGATGACAAGCCTGAAGGGGCATCCTACCGCGCGCGAACTTGTGCGTAGAGTCTTTGCAGTTGATTAATAGGTCCTGAAGCGATCACAGGTGTAGTAATATCGCGTTTTGGCATCAGTATTGTGAGGCTTACTCCGCTTGAGTACGAAGCCGTAGCCGTGCTGCATGCCGTGGGCCTTGAGAGCATCATACGCCTCATCATAAGAGCTATATAAAGTATCTGGAGGAGGAGTAATAGCCTCCATAGATAGCGTGTACAGTCAATCGCAATGCCTCTGTTGATATAATGCTCCCCTTAGATCACGTTGCGTTGCGCCACGAATCTAATCAGGATTAGCACTGTGCCAAGCCAATTGCAGCGATAAGTTTTGATTACAGCTAGTGCGGAGGACAAATCTCAAGGGGGGGACAAATCTCAAAACCGGGGGGACAAAACTCATGAGCCTAAACATTTTTTTCATAATAACATAAATTTCGTACAGCACTCAAAATGAATGTTGTATTATTTGGCTCTTGACGCATTTTTACAATGTCAATTTAAAGTATACGAGCTGCAGTTCGTTCGCACGATCTCTCACATCATATACTTACAAATCGGTATCATGGTACACTTTCTCAACGTGAGTGTTAGCCAAATTCACGGAAATTGACTTGTATGGAAGAGGAGGTTCTTCTTCGACGTATTTTTGACCTTGATGCCAAAGGATTCCCACCAGCAATATCTGTCTAACGAGAAACCGCGATATCATCCTTCCGAACCACGGCGCGTCGTCTCAAAAGGCAGTCGGCAAGAACTGGGCTACCTACTTTGTTGATCGCCATGAATCACTTTGTACAATGTACAATCGAAAGTGCGATCATCAACGCGTGCAATGCGAGGATCCAGTCCTGATCCAGGGCTGGTTTAGCCTCGTTCAAAACTTGATCGCGAAGTACGGTATACTTGAAGAGGATATCTATAATTTTAATAAGATTGGCTTTCAAATTGGAGCCCTTACAACCTCAAGAGTGGTTGCAAGAGCTGAGAGAAAGGGTCGTTCAAAGACAAAGCAGCCAGGTAATCAGGAATGGGTTACTGTCGTACATGGGATCAATTCATAAGGATGGTCAATTCCAGCACATATTATCCTTGCGGCAAAGCTTCATCAAAGCACCTGGTATACAGACAGCAATTTGCCACATGATTGGGCTGTCTCTGTAAGTGAGAGCGGGCGGACAGATGATGAGATCGAATATGGATGGATCTAGCACTTCCATAATCACGCTCAACATCGTACGAAAGGCCAATACCGATTGCTCGTCCTGGATGATCCTTCAGCCATTGGATTTGGTTGTTTTGGCCCGTTGAAGGCGTCGTACGGAAAGCAAGTAGGAGGCAAAATGAGGCTTGGCATTAACCATATTGATAAAGAGGAGTTCCTACACCTCTACTATCCATATCACATACAAGCGATAACTGAATAGAATACCCGCAGTGGATTTGCCGCAACTGGCCTTGTCCCTTTTTAATCCAGATCACGTCCTTTCAAACATCAATCCTGTCGTACGAACACCCAGCCCTATTCCTACAGAAGTGTCAGTATGGGAGTCATAAACGTCTCGTACGATATAGGAAATTAAGCGTCAAGGACAGTATATTCAAGAGCAGCGTCGTCATCGTACGAATGCCTCTCATTCACCATCTGATTCTGCTTTTCAACGGCTGTTAAAAGGCTTTGAAGCTGTCATACATGAACAAGCTATACTGCAGGTTGAGAACGCTGCACTGCGAGTCGAAAATGCACATCAAAAAAGTAAGCGAACAGTACGTCCTACAAGGTTTCAAACTGAAGGTACCTTATCTATTGATGAGGGGCAGAACAGGGTGTACAAGCGTAAATTAGAGGAACAGATTCAAAATGAAGTTCAACAAGATAGTGCTCGTACGATCGATCTAAAGCCAAAACCACGTGCTCCACCAAAATGCAGCTTATGTGGATCTCTTAAGCATACTGCTCGTACATGTTCTAAATATCAAATTTCAGCTTAAATAATTAAATAATCAATAATTTATTATTGTACAATATTATTTATGTTGAAAGATGTTTAATCAGGTAGGTGTCGCTCTCGCTTGTGAAACAGCTTAGTCTGTCTTATTAGGCCATCCTCAAGCTCAAAAGGTGGCTTCATCACCATAGAACACTATATCGAAAACAAAATATATGCTACCGCAGAGAGTACCCTATGCGGTACTCCATTATTCCCCCGCTAAGGTACGATATTCACTAAATTTCTCGGTATGGCATCCGCTATGGTGGTGCCGTACCGTTTTTCAACTCTGATGTACTTAAAGAAGCGAAAGCGGCATGGTAATTAGACGAAAATTTACGGTACATCAACACGAAATAGCAATGAACTTGCGCATTATTTCAAGAGCATGAGTACGGGGAGTTCTGAAGACTGAAGATGCAAATTGGACGAAGCTATATTCACTTTGGCTACGATACCCTATACAAGCCAACAACAACTTCATACTGATGTCCCCCCATTGAACAACTTTCTGCGGGGCAATCACTAAGCTTCATACTGCTTCAAAGCGCTCTATGTTCTGCTGTGAACACAACGCCATTTGCCAAAAGACTTGATTATCAACAATATACTCTGTCCACTGAAGGTCTTGGGAACCCCATAGTAGAGTCGCGAAAATAGGAACCAGGCCTTTCTGAAAACCAAAGGCCTAGCGGCAGTAATGACTTCTATTATGGATTCGGCCAATTCCAACAAACCCATATTGTCCGTTGCTTAGCTCACCGCATTCTAGCACCGAATAAGTATTCTCGAAGAAGATTGCTTTGCGCTGAAGTCGCCAGAGGTGAAATTTTATTTTCTGGGATCCAGAATATCCTTTATGTTAACCCGCCAATCATCGCACACGGCGGGAAAATGTTTGACCACAAGCTGTATTCCTCCTTCAATTTAAAACAATACAGGTTTGACCCCAAACACAAACCGAATTCTGGCGCGACATGTTTGATTGCGACTGCCACTTCTCGAATATGCCTAATCTTGCTTCTTGTGCAAAAGACAGCAACCTCGTGTATCCTCAAATATTCTTTGCTTTAATCATTGTCTTATATTTCATTCTAATGAGATCTATAGAACATATATTTCACAAAATGAGAGTCTGAGATTTGGGTATATGAGTGTATTTATGTACAGTACTTTGAGGGTTGCGATATACAAGCAAGATATGTCTTTTCCACAGTAGATAGCGCCAGAGCCAAACTCGAGAAAATTAAGACACGAACATCGAAAGAGCCATGTACGCGTACTAGGCGGGTCATGTGCGCGCTTGTCATGGCTCAAACGCCTTCTTCCCGGATATATCATTGCTAAGAAGATTCCAAGCCTAGTTGAGAGCAAGGGTGGCCTATGGAGAACGGGCATTGAGATGGAAATTTAAGGACCCTTTTAAAAGAAACCGTTTCGTACGCTCGTGGAAGGTGAAGAGTCCAAAGCAGTAGGATTCGGATATGCGCGACGAATTCTCACGCGAGAAGCACCGCTGCCGCTTCGTTCTAGGTTTGCGAGCTCTTGCCTATTGGACTCAGCTTGCCTGAGCCGTGATTCTTTCTGCGAGATGTAGACACTAAGAAGTCGCTCACTCCGAGTTGGGTTCTTAAAACAGTTGTCTCGAAGATCGAGCCAGGCATAGTTGTCCGGTTGACTTGGCCAGTCAGGTGATACAAAACTGTCCCGTTGCGCAGAATGAGGATAATCTCGCCGATTGATAAAAGGTGATGGCTCTTGAGATAATGGGGATGCTAGAATGGGGTTCGATTTTAGGGGCTGTGGAGCGAAAGGCTCTTGAACAATATTGTCGATCATAGACTTCATACTTGGCTTAGAAGGCGTGGACTGTTGTCTTGCTGTGGCTGCTATTGGTGTTGCCGAAATTCTCATGCCAATCTGCAAGGTTGCGGTGCTTGCAGTGCTGTCTCGTGCGCTTTCACCCATGAAAGGCGCAGGTGGCTGGAGATTAACGACTGCAAGTGTTAAAGCGGCGCTCGTGTTGCTGCCAACTGCAGCACTCAACTCTGATTCAGTAGCTTTTTCCGGAGAATAAACCGTCGCTGGCAAACGAAATTCATCGTCGCCTGGAAACAACGAATAGCTTGGTTTCTTCTTATGCGTCGGCTGCGACGCTGACAACTTGGGTTTGTTTTTTGGTTTTGCAGGTGTAGGTGGCCTTTCCATATCGTCTAATAATGGCCAATGTCTCCTGAGCACAGCTGGTCCAGGCCTTGAAGGATACTTGAAGCTCGATCCGGGAGATGAATCTGTGAGAGACGTCGTGGTAATGATCTTCTGATGTTGAGTTACACCCCACGTTGGCATCTTGCCCTTATCGTCAGGCTCGTACTCCATTTTTTGCATAATTGGCGGGCTGATGTTGATGAGTTCAAGGTCGTTGGGACCAAAGAATCTGAACTTTCTCTTTCTAACCCACGGAGTTCTATTGGGCTTGATGGCTGTACGTGCCGCGTTGGCGCGCAGAAAGAAGTGAGTGAAGCAGATGACGGCTCCAGCGCTGAAGAGCACAAACTCTGCTATACGGGAGGTCGTAAGACTTGAGTCGAACGTACCGGTCATAGCTTGTATCCAGAACGGGAGGATCATGATGTAGAAGACGGCTGCCTCAACCAAGTAATACACCATGCGAGTGCCGGCAATGCGCTCATTATGATCCATCAAGACCGTTTTATGTAGACGTATCCCAATAACTAAGGCCATGGCCAAAAACGACGGAATCATGATGCCACAGAGCACAATTCCTAGAAGCGAGTTTCGAATCGCACGGAAGATGATGTCTCCAAAGCAACGATCTCTAGCAGGCCGAATAAGAGTGGAGAGAAATGTGGCAATTGTAAGAACCAATGATAAGCCGACAAAAATGACAGTGGGCCAGACTCTCCGAATAGAAATCAGTGCTGGAGGTTTGAGAGACCGGATAGTTATGTCCAATCCGAAAACCATGTGAAACCATCCAATCATGAAGATTTCTGTGGACTTTAGCGTAGTTCCATAATGATATGGTAGAGTCGAACCTACGTGTAAATACGATCATTGATGAAGTTTTACACGAATTGATAAATACTGTCTGCAATGCAAATGCTTGTATCAAAGTGAATGACAAAGATTGAGAAAAAATAGCAAAACCGATGATCAGGGGGAAACTCTCGGCAGGATGAAGATTCCAAAGAAATGCCCATCGTCTGCAACATGTCATTAAAAAAAATCTTCGATTCGTGCATGTTACGAACCTGGGATGCAGTTGCACACTTAGTTGTTGCGCTCTCCAGCTGTCATACCAGACTCGTCCAATGACCATAAGAGCCAAAAAACAGCTCAGGCTGCCAAAAGCAATGTGCATATATCGGGTTTGTTGAACCTGTCCCAGTGCTAGGCCATGAATGATGCTGAGTGTCCGATTCATAGCCTCATTGCTCATTTCCATGGACGGCAGTTCGACTCCCATTCTCATCATCTCCATACCATCTTGAATCTTCCTTTGCCACAGTGGTGTTGAGCGCGCTTCCCATAAGTCCATTGTACGGTTCTTCTGAGGTGGTGGCTAGATAATTCGCTGTATCGGCTGCTCTCCGGCAGTTCTATCTCCAGAGTCTTTCCACATCTATATGCTGTTCATTCTATTTTCTCCTGTCGCTTTCGTTTGGTCGAATTGCTAGTGCTCCGTTTTTACTCGAAATCGCTTTATTTTAGATATTCGACTGTCCCTTAGATTCTCGGTGGTAAGGAGGAACTAGTAGCTATGAGAAAGAGTAAAAAAGTTGCAGACAAGGCATGCAGTCCAGAATATGGTACACGAGGAGGGTTGAGGTCTCGAAACGAAGTTAATCTCCTATCCGTGTAGCCAAGGAGTTTCGCCATGAGCAACACATGCAGAGTGCACCCCGAATCGAGTACGAAATTAAGTCTAGGCATCCTAGTTTTGCCTTTGATCTACAGGTCTCGGTCTCGATATCCTTACTCAAACCTTGCTTCTCGTTGAGTTTCAGGTTTTCGTGTGAGAATGCAACACCTCAAATCGGGTTAAACAGGTTTCCCCCTCCCCTAACCACCATCGTCTTGATCATTGCTTTCGCATCTTTGGACAAACAGCAAAACCACTCGAGTCGGGCTCTTTACGCTGGTAAAAACTAGGAAATTAAAAGGAACGAAGTTTTGGGCTCTTGCATTGAGAACTGCTGTCGAACCATGGTTTCTTCTCATACGAGGACGGCACTATGAAATTTCTCTCATTAATGGTTATCTATAGCTGTTGTCTTCGTGACGAATTTCTTCTTTTGCCGTCTACGATACAGCTGGTTCATTGTCGTGGCTTGAAGTCGGTAGCTGGATCCTGAAACACATTTGCGACAAGAGGCGGCACGGCCTCGCCCAACTAAACCAGAATTCTTCTGGGCTGCGTTGCGCTGTTTTCTTTCCAAGCAACATCATTGGGTTAGTGTTTAAGCTACTACAAATTTCCTAACAGCGGAAGCCGTCCTTCGAAGCATGAATACCCTTCAGCAAGCAAAGGCCTGCTGCACATCCCTAGTTTCCTCAGCATCTTACGTGGTCTAGGTACTCCGTGCGTTTGTCCACTCTCTTAGAAAGGACGGTAGACGAAGAAATTTTTGCCGTCCTAGGAGAAAATTTCATCATATTTACTTTAATGAAGCGCACAATTTTGAGCGCCATAGATTTTAAATCTTTGACTTCATATCAGTGGATGAAATGGCTCCCGTTCGCTTGTCCGCTGAGAAAAAAGTGACTGTTCCCACGGTCTTGAATGAGACTTCGTCATCAATTCGGTGTAGAGAAAAGACTACTAGACTTGCAATTAGACTCCGATACTAGGTGGGAAGAACTGACGAGACCTATCATTCATCACTATGCGCTAGCACTTTTGCGGACCCTCAGGATGAAGGAATCAGACGGAGTACAGAATAAAATCGTGTAGCAAGGCCAAACATGGGTTGTAGAGACATTGAGTTCAGACGAGAAGCCAGCCGCTAAAAGAGTGATGAACGTGTCTTCACAAGTTTATGGCAAATTGATACTGGAGAAATAGAGATTGCATGACATCTGAAACCGAGGATGAGCTTCAATTGCAGTAGTTGAGCCCAATTTGCCTCTACACATTCCTAAGGCACAATAAAAACATTGACCAAGGCAACATGGTGCTATCTCGGCCCACTTGCTATTCATTCCTGCCTCTGGCTCAGAACACTTATAGACGACAGCGGATCGTAATTCCTTAATGCGGGTCTGGGAAGTTGACAAACAGCAAAGTGTCAACTTTTTGGAAACCAATTCGACAGTTAATATATAGTGTACAGGCCCACAGACCTTGCTAGTAACTACGTTCGTGCACCAACATTGGACAACCAAGTTAAAAAGCATGCGCAAAGTGTAAAGATTCGATGAGCATTCCATAACGCAGTTGAAAACCCCAACGTTTGAGGGTGAAATGTATGAGAGATATGAGATTATGTAGCAACCGTCGGTAAGGAACCTTCTCATCCTCGGAAGCCTCTGAGGCTCCAGCTACGGTGCTCACGATAGTGTGCTCTAGAACAAAGGATAGAAGAAGCAATGGTGAAAGCAGATACCCAAAGCTTCCCACAATATTTGTCCAGAAATGAGATGAGTGAGAAAAAGGACGAAGGTCAAGCCACACCACGCAAAGGTTTTCAGCAAGGGAGGCTAATTCATCTGGCCAATCAGCGTCGTGTATTTGTCGAGTCTTGGCAGAGAAGCTTGGAGCAACAGTCCTCCAACCTCACTTTGAATCAATTGACAGCAGAAACCGTCAATTGCGTGCAACGCACATAACAATGCTGAGTCGACAGCTGCTGAGGTCAAGTTCAAGGCTGCAAAGGCCTCTTCTACTGAATGCGTCGCGTTCATTCAGCTCCAGTGATGGACGGTCCGCAGAAGTCGAGCTCACGATAGGTATGCAGATTCCGACACAGGGACATGACTGTAGCTGACCCCATAACAGACGGGAAGAAGGTGTCGATTGAAGGTCAGCATATGCTTTCAAATATCTGAAAGTCGAGGCAGCTAATGATGTACAGCTGGATCCGCTCTCATCCAGGCGTGCGAGAAAGCCGGATCAACTGTGCCGAGATACTGCTACCATGAAAAGCTCATGATTGCTGGCAACTGCCGCATGTGCCTGGTAGAGGTGGAGAGGGCCCCGAAACCAGTGGCATCGTGTGCATGGCCTGTTCAACCAGGTATGGTGGTCAAGACAAATTCACCCTTGGTGCATAAAGCAAGAGAAGGCGTCATGGAGTTTCTGTTGGCAAATCATCCACTAGATTGCCCCATCTGCGATCAAGGTGGCGAGTGCGATTTGCAAGACCAGTCAATGCGCTATGGTGCAGATAGAGGCAGATTTCATGAAATTGGAGGCAAGCGCGCCGTTGAGGACAAGAATATAGGACCCCTGATTAAGGTTTGGCAAATGAAAGCGATACTTGGAAATTGCGTGCGCTGACTACAACAGACTTCGATGAACAGATGTATTCATTGCACACGCTGTATCCGATTTGCCAATGACGTCGCGGGTGCTCCAGAGTTAGGTTCGACTGGACGTGGCAACGATCTTCAGATCGGCACCTACCTCGAGAAGAACCTTGACTCGGAAATGTCAGCGAATATCATCGACCTTTGCCCAGTTGGAGCACTCACATCGAAACCGTATGCATTCAAAGCAAGGCCTTGGGAGCTTGCTCACACAGAGACGATTGACGTCTTAGACGGCCTAGGCTCGAACATCCGTGTTGACTCAAGAGGTCTCATAGTCATGAGAGTTCTCCCACGCCTTAACGATGATGTCAACGAAGAATGGATCAATGACAAGTCCCGGTTTGCATGTGATGGCCTGAATACTCAGCGCTTGACAATACCCCTCATCCGACGTGGTGACGATTTTGAGCCGGCATCGTGGGAGCAGGCTTTGGTTGAGATAGGCGAGGCATATAAGAGAATCAAACCCAGGACGAACGAATTCAAGGTAGTTGCCGGGCAGCTCGTTGAAACCGAATCACTTGTTGCCATAAAGGACCTTGCGAACAAGCTAGGTCATGATAACCTTGCTTTGGACCAACCGTTAGGTGACCAGCCACTTGCACACGGTGTTGATTTGCGCACGAACTTCGTCTTTAACTCGAGGATCTACGGTGTAGAAGAGGCGGATTGCATCCTGCTTGTGGGCACCAATCCCCGCCATGAAGCTGCCGTTCTCAACGCGAGAATTCGAAAGCATTGGCTGAGATCTGACCTTGAGATTGGCTTGATTGGCGAGGCTTTTGAGAGCACATTTGACGTGGAGCATCTTGGTGCTAATGTCCATGACCTGAAGAAGGCGCTCGCTGGGCCTTTTGGCAAGAAACTAGCTGCTGCTAAAAAACCGATGATCATTGTGGGTAGTGGCATTGTTGAACACGCCGATGGTCGAGCTGTCTTTGAACAAGTCGGTTCGTTTGTGGAAAAGCACAAGACCAACTTCCAAACCCCAGAGTGGAATGGTTACAATATTTTGCAACGAGCTGCGTCTCGGACTGGTGCTTACGAAGTTGGCTTTACAGTCCCATCTCCTCAAATTGCACAGGTTCAGCCCAAGATTGTTTGGCTGTTGGCTGCCGACGAAATCAGCGAATCTGATATCCCAAAGCATGCTTTCGTTATTTACCAGGGCCATCATGGCGACAGAGGTGCTGCAATGGCAGACATTGTCCTTCCAGGTGCATCTTATGTTGAAAAGAGCGGCACATATCTCAACACCGAGGCTCGCGTGCAGACCACTCGGAATGCCGTAGCACTTGTAGGTGCAGCAAGAGAAGATTGGAAGATTATACGTGCCGCTAGCGAATATCTGGGTGCCCCACTTCCGTACGACGATATTGAAGCCCTTAGGGATCGCATGGAGGAGATTTCGCCTGCGTTGAGACGATATGATGTCGTAGAGGGTTCTGGTCTGGCTACATTAAGCAAGGTTCAGCTCGTGGATCAAAACAAAGGGGCAAAGGTTTCGGGTGAGTCCTTCAAAAATGTCATTGAAGACTTCTACTTCACGGACGTGGTTTCGAGAAGGTATGCTTATCAAACTATCTATACATTGTGTATGAAAAAACTAATATCATTTGCTTTAGCTCACCAACGATGGCGAGATGCTCTGCAGCAAAAGCGCAGAAGATTGCAGACACGAATTTCATGGCACCAGGCGAGCCAAACCCTCAAGTCAATTACGGCCCACCTGACAGTCCCGCGGCGTTGCAAGCTGGTGGATAGAATATATCCAACATTCCTTTCCTTCTGATGTGCGAAAAGCAATTGTAACAGTGGCCGCAAGTGCTGTGCATTTCTGTACTGTGGTTATGTTTGAGATTACAGTTGTATATAGGTTATCCTTAGAATGTGCAGCATACACACTTTTGAAGTTCGCAAGTCATCTGCCGAATTTTTCATGTTACCAAGTTCAAGAAGCTACCATGTTGTAAGTTGAAGATGCGTCTTCACGGTTGATCCCATTCCTTGCTTGCATGTTTTGTTGAAGGTGCTGATGTATTTTTAGTTTTCGAAGTTTCAAATTTGCAATAGAGTTTTGACCCCAGATTCGTAGCTGAAAAATCAGCACCCACCACGCGATCGGGTTGCGTATCGCCTACGCTTTACTAATTCATTATCTAAACTATCCGATGATTCCCCTGATTCCTTAGCTTCATCTTCACTTTCTTCTTCTACTATTATAGCCTTTCGTGGGGCCCCTCGTGGCCGTTTTGTTGTTGGCTTCGCCTCCGCCTCGCGGGCTATGCGCAGCACTTTTGCCGTTATGTAGATCGAAACACCTTCTAATTGAATTCTTTTTCCTTTCTTAGCTTTCTTTCGCTTATGAAGAAGCTCATTTTGATTAGCTATCTGCTTTGCTATAATCGCGATGGTTGCATTTTGAGTTTCGCGCATTCGAGTCATCCGCTCAGCATAGCGCCTCACCGGCGAAACAATGGCGGGACACTCGCGTAATGACTCTGTAAACCTTTTATTTAACCTTATTAGCTTAATTGCCTCTAGAGGAGAGCTATTTAATAATGAAAGGTCAATATTAGTGGTTTCATATGGTGTGACTGGCTGAGGAGCAGGCGAAGAAGACTCTTTTGGAATAGATCTGAGTACGCGCATGGGAGCCGCAGGCCATAAGCTGGTACCTCGCCATCCACTAAGTATATTCTTTTCAGTCATTGCCTTCTACGTGCTCGTGACAGTAATTCGATCCATTCTGCCCGTGGGATGTGTTGTGAGCTGAGCTAGGATATCGCATTGTTATGACCATAATACGTGAAACACCAAGAACCAGATTTATTGGTTCGGGAAGAAAGAACCAATTGAAAGTGTAGTAGCGCTCATGGATGAGCAGGATGAACACGAATTTCCTATGTCCATAAAAACATCCTGTCCCTACCTCATTAACGGCTCTCTGTAGTTTAACTGTCTAGTTTACCTAGTAGTTAGTCTGAATACTCTCTCTTACTTGAAAGCTTATACTACCCTAAGTCATAAAGCTGAACTATTTTATTATCTCTCCTCTCTCAAAAAGCCCTAGTTCTCTCTTGTTCCCTTTGCTCTAGGAAGCTCATCCCTTCCGAAGTGGCTTACGATAGTGAAGCTAGTCGGTATAGGGAAAGTATTCCTAACACGCATGCGTCTCGCTAGAATGATACCGTTTGAATGCTGAAACACACCCACATCAAGTGGCTGTAGTATATGTGAGCAATGGGGTGGCATCATAAGAAGATCAATCTGGTTCTCCATACAATATGCAATAAAATCGTCTTGGATATGACTTCCATGCCCATCAGTAGTGAGCAAACGCTGGCGTCCCGCAGCCTTCGCGCGGGTTAATGGATTAAATACCCGCTTTAGCCACTCAAGACTCAAATTATTTGAAGTCCAGCCGTTTTTGCTGCTAGCAATATGCCAGTTTAGAGGTATTTGCTCGTTAATCCATCGTGCATTAACATCAGTACCTTTGAATATTAGGAGTGGTGGCAGCGCTTCGCCGACGGCACTGATACATTCAATATCCGTTACCCACTCTTGCTTTCCTATAACTACTTTATACTTGATATTCTTATCAAGATAAACTAGCACTTTTATTGCCATCTCTTCACCAATACCAAATCCAGATTCATCCATATTCCACATATTTGAAGGTTCATAGTGATGCTCTTCTATCTTCGATGCGACTGCGTTAAACCAGCAATTCACATTCTCATATCTAACTCCATTTTGTCGCGCATGCTCTAATTGACGAGCATATATTGAGCCTACTTCAGGATGCCTATTTTGAAAGCGATATATCCATTTGGGGTTGATTGGATCCAATTGAGGAGTGTAGGTGATGGATCGTGACGCGTGCGTAACGCGTGCGGCTCGTAGGCTTTGCGCCATGTCTTTCAACGAGTTCGTGATTGGGGTGCCGGTAATAGTATATCGCTTTATCCATCGTACAAGAGTAGATTCTTCCGTGTCTGTAAGTATCTGCTGCATTGTGTGGCTTTTGAGTGCGATTTGGCTCCGCGTAGCCTGCGTTGTAGCTGTGAATATGAAACTTGAAAATGAATTGCAGTAGCTTTAATAGTTGAAATTTTATTTTCTCTCCAAGCAGTTAAAGCCTTTTGAAGTTGAATTTCAGTATTTAAATAATTTTTTGATGACTTAATAGCCTTGTTTGAAAATATCGCGTGTTGGATGCGCGACATGTGTTTTTCAGCTACAAATCTGGGGTCGCTACGAATCTGGGGTCGCTACGAATCTGGGGTCAAAACTCTATAGCATTCCCGCTCGATTTTTGAACCATGATTCTAATCCCATTCAGTTTTCCTTGTGTTTAGAGGTCAAATATAAATACTTCATATTGAGGCGATAGTTCTCCTTTCAAGTAAGTTGGAATGGACTCAAATGTACTTCGAGAAGTCTAGATAAATTGAATGTATAAAAGAGAAGAGAGATCAGATCTATTCTGATCGCTGAGTCCTCCCTTTTCACCTAGTCAATCATCTTTCATAACCCTAGCACCTTATGGTTTTCCGCACATTTTGAAGTACGCACCATGACCATGACTATCCCGACAAACCTTCTCGACTGTTGTTATGCACCAATAATCTGACAAAATGCAATACACCAACAGGGAATTCCTAAGCGCTCACCGATGGGCTATATTACTCTAGACAGGAAAGAATATACGAGAGTAGGAAGGGACTTGTATCAAGTATGAGGATTTCGCTCGAAACCAGAAGTCTATGTAGGGATTCATTGAGTTTGCTGGTTCGATCACCCTTATTCTTGAAGCAAACTCCTCTAAGTGGTAAACTCAATGTCAGCTTTAAGTGACTCTCTTTCCATCTAAGACTCAATAACACCTGACCCCGTCCTCGCTCTAGGAAGCTCGTGTTGGAAGGTTCAACCATCATGACTGGTATAGATGAGCTCCCTAGGTCTAGCGTACCCTAGTTTACCGCTCCTATGCAGTTTTCACTTCATGTATCTTGCATCCTGCAACTTAACAATCAGCAGATGTACCTTTCACCATAAAGTTGCAAGAGCTCGTCCCTTCCAAAGTAGCTTGCGTTATCCTGCTTGAAGGATCTGGTAGTTGACTCCTAGCATCGACGTAATGGAAATAACAGCCCATATATCAATTTGCAAACAACAGAGCATCCTTATGGTGAGAAATCCCCATCGCAGTAAGATGGCTTTCATGGTAAGCGCAAATGCTATAATCATGTTTGAACCTATCGTGAGGCTATGTTCTTTTTCGGCATGGTAATTAATGCACAGATCATCTGCATTTGAAGATTTGCAAAATTGTGTTTCCATACACGTATTGCAACCCGCATGCCGAACGCCGCTTTAAAAAGCTCAGTCTGTGAACAGGATCATCTGATTTTTTTTTCTCATGCCAGCCATCCCCACGCTACGAAAAGTGATCATATACGGGGTCCACGGAGCACGTCAATAACCGGCATTCTAGTGAAGCACAATCTGGGTTCTATAAATCCGCAACTTTCTGTACCAATGGTATTGGTTATATAAAGATTTGAGTCTTCACTTTCTGTGGCGAACCATACAAACAGAGCCACTTTGAAGTAGATCCAGCTTTTGCTCCGCATTCATAGACATCGCTCTCTAATGCCATGCGGAATGCATTGCTTAACGATCGATTGTGTCAAGTGCCGTCATCCAGCGCTCACTGTACGAGTCACATCATATTGGCCTTAGTAAATCCCATTTGTACAATTATACACTCGCAATGCTTTTCAGTTCACGAATAGGCGTGAGTCAGGGTGCCAGACTTTGTTCTCGTTTGTTAAACTATCCGCCTTACGCATCACGTCGATTCGAGCAAAGCCAAGTCAAGAACATGTCACTCTTGGCAAATAAAGAATTGCACATGCGTATATCGAACTTCGTGACATTCAAGGTCCCTCGTGCTCATGGTTTGGCTTTAAGACAATGTGGTTGCTGGCTGTAGTTTATGTGTGTGGTGCCTCCCGTGGACTGATATGCCTCTCCTCACAATTTATGTTTCTTCTGCCCGCTTGCAACCTTTGCGAACTCTTTCTGCGGAACACCCGAAAGGAAGCGGTCCAACAGTCCAAAAACCTCCTTGGAACCTTGGGCATTGTATGTCTGCATGAAAGGCGCTTTAATCTGCTTCTTGATTTCGAGCATGCTCGAATGGCTCAGATGGTCACCCATGCGATCGTCTACCTCCTTGAGCACCTCTGCAAGAAATTTTTCCGAGTAGCCAGGCGCTTTGGGGTCGCCAGCTCCGTCGAGCACCTTGTTGACGAAACCCGTGTGCACCAGCTCCTCACACGTGATCCTCTTGCTCTGGATCAGCGCCTCATTCGCCTTGCTGAGACCCATTCGCTGCACGAAAGTCTGCGCCGCCAATCCCTCGCTTACGAGGCCCAACGATGAAAACGGAGTTAGAAGAAAGGTATGCGGGGCGGCATACACGAAATCGGCGTGAGCAGCGATGGCGGCTGAGAGGCCGACACAGGGGCCGTTTAGAGCAGCAACCAGGATCTTGGGATGCGAGTAAAATGCCTGAGTGATGTGAAGGTTATTGGCAACACCAGTGTAAAGTATGCCAGCTCGCGCATCTTCTTTGCTGTTCTCGGCGGGAACTTTGCGAGGCACAGAGACATCGGCGCCTCTGTTGATATTCAATTAGATTCAGATGCGACAGAGGATTTGCTGATTACATACGCCGAGAAAAACCGGCCCTTGCCGATAAGAATGGTGATGGTGATATCGTCCATAGAAGCAACTTCATGTAGAAGACAGGCGATCTTAAAGTAGTCCGCTGAGGTCATGGCATTGAGCTTGCGGGGCTTATTGATCGTGATTATGGCAACGTTGCCTTTCGTACGAAGCGTCACTTCGTCGGCGGACATACTAGGCAAGTTTCGGCTATCGAGGACGTAAGTTACTTAAACGACGGAAGTGATGCAAATATCAATGGCAAGAGGGCGACACAGCTATAAGGCAATCAATGAGAAGTGAGCTGCAATCCAAAATAAGACGCAGGGAGATATAAGACTGTTGGAGGACAGGCTTGCATGCAGACCACGGTTGATCGGTGTCGGAGGACCAAGAATTCGTAGTTTACCATTATCACCTCGGTCTAGCGAACGCATCAAACGCCATTTCCCCACACTAGAAAAGCATCCCAAGAGCGTTTAGCGCAACTCTACTGAATCATCGCGGACTAGGGTCCCAGAAACATGCGTGGCTCTCTTCAGAAGGTTGAAAAAGACTTACATCAGCTGCGAAGACGCCTTAGGCCGGAATCTTCAACCCGGATTGCCGTCCACGTGTCAAACAGACGTGGACCACATCATTGGCACCACATTTGAATACCGTCCATTACATCGCGCTCGACCCAAAGCTTCGTTGCAAGAGCCGGCAAAATGGGCGGGCCGAATCTTGAAATATTCAAGGCCAGCTGCTCTCCTCTTGCTCTATATTTGATGGTTGCGCTGACGCTCGCACAGTTTGGCATGTACATCATGTTCCCCATAGGCTGGATGTATTACTTCGGCACCAATCTCGATGACAAATTCTCCGTCGAGGATTTCTGGCCGACAAAGGAGCAGCTGAACAAGGTTCCAACCGAGCGAGAGGACATCCTCGAAGAACTAGAGAGGATGAAAAGGAGGAGGCTACGGAGGCGAGAGCTGCGGTTGAAAGAAGAGGCTATGAATGATAGAAATGCCGGCGTCAGGATCCCAGCGGGCCACACACTTAATATGGGACGTCCCCTAGAACAGATAGGCGAGAATGCGACAAAAGCTTTACAAAGAGAAGGTAGGGGATGGTTGGATTGGATGAGGTGGAAATGACATTCTTCGAGCCTTTCTCCAAGTCATTTTGTGTAAGGATCATATATCCAGAAGGTGCGACGGATCGCTTGCCGACATTGCAAATGAAAAATTTGGATACATGGACGACAAACCGAGCAGTATAATACTCACATAACGTAATTCGCCACCAAGTCGCGCAGCATATCACTGACAATACCATATTATGTGATGATATCGCGGACAAGTATAAACCATTGTTAGATAAGCTTAGGATCTTCACATAAAGCATGCTGGTAATCGTATTCACGATTATATCGTGATTTAAGCTCTGGTTGGCGGTTAATGAATGTCGTAGGCCAGTTTTTACCAAGATGTGTATTTGGTCCGCATTGCTTCTGTAGCAATAGATTGGCCGCTGATCGCAGATTTGCTGGTGATAATGAATAGCCTCAATCGGACATGCTACATAACCATGCTCTTAGAGTCTCCTCTTCTGTTATTGTAAGTTTGTGGCCAACTGGTCGGTAATCGACGCGTCCGACGCGACCGTGAATGCGATCACGTAAGGTGCTCTCAGGCACGTTATAAAGTCGCGCAGCAGCTCGAATTGATAGATTTGATTGAGAATTAATTGCTTGAATTGCTAATAAAAATTTTTTCCCTCATTCTGAACTGATTTGGACATGTTGTTGTGGTATAATGATGAATCTCAATGATGATATCTATAACTTTGATGAGACAGGCTTTGCAATGGGCATTGCAAGTACATCACGAGTAATAAGAACATCTGATCAACGCACAAGACCTACTCTTATCCAACAAGGCGATCGTGAATGGGCTACAGTGATAGAGGCAATCGGAGCTAATAGCTATCATCTACCACCCATTGTGATTCTGAAAGGCAAGGTTCATATCCAGAATTAGTATGAATACTGCGAATTACCACAAGACTGGGTAATCAGCCTTAGCCTAAAGAGGTGGACAATAAATGAGCTTGGTCTTCGATGGCTTACTGATATATTTTATCCATATACACAACCATGCACTATTGGTGCATACTGTCTACTTATCCTTATTAGGCATGAATCTCATATAACACCTGAATTTGATTATTTCTGTAAAAAACACTCTATTCATTATATTATGTATGCCTCCACATTCATCACACTTGCTACAGCCTCTTGATGTAAGCTGTTTTGCAGTCTTAAAGAGGGTATTGTTACGAGGTAACATGGTGATCACGTGAAGGGAGAGCGATCATGTTGATCATTCATGATCGAGGTGATCAGTCTGCATAAGCGAAAGGTTGTGATTCGCTCAGAAGGATTGAACGAATCAGGAATGCAGTTAGTGATCAGTCTGATCATTCATGATCAGAATGATCGCTGAGAATC